GCGTAAGGCACGGTGAGTCCACAGGATACCGTGGGGCTCGTAGTACATGTCCGCGATGATCTTTTTATCGGGCGGGGCGACGGGAGGCGAAGAGGCGGGCGAGGACGTCCTCCTTGGAGTCACGACCGGGATGTCGGACCGCAGGTGGGCTTCCTCATCTTCGACTTCTTCCAAGGAAACTGAAAGGGTCTTGCTTCGAGGTGGCATTTGGTCACCGGGCCGAGAAGGGCCCCTCAGCGGCACTTGGGCGCCTTCCGTCGAAGTGGTGGAGGAGGGCTCGCTGCCCTGTGTTCGGCCCTGGCCACGGGCGCTTGTGCGCGGCGTTGTAACCTCCACAGTCGATCCATTCTTACGGCTCTTCCTGGACCCGGCGGTACTTCGGGTAACCCTTCGTGAGCGCACACATGTTGGCTCGGCCGGGGGGTCTGCACTGTTTGCCGCAGCATTGTCCTTGGCTACTAGGGGCAGGGGGTCCCTCGACTTCACGGCCTCAGCTGCTTTCTCAACGCCTCCCACTGGAACAGACGGCCCCACATACGAGGACGCAGGCCCAGCGGGCTGGGTTGTCAACCTTTCTCCCTCTCCGGGGTGACCTCCCTTCGTCAAGGGTGCAGTCGAGACTCGACCTAGGGGGCTCTGCCCTCGAGGGGCTTTCCCTGTGCGGTGAGCCGGGGGTTCCTGAGCTCGGACGGCCCCTAGGGGTTCAGTACTGAGCGCAGGCTGCGCGGAGTGGCGGAAATCCCCTCCTACGCCGTGGGTGATGGGCGATTCGTTTTCCTTAGTTTCTTCTACTGGTAGAGCGGCGAAAAAATTGGTATATTGGTCGTAGGGAGTACCTACACATACAGATTGAGCCTGACTACAAGTACAGGAGCGCGCACCAGATGAAACTAAGTCCTTTGCCGACGCCGTCGAATCGCTTATTTCGACGCCGGCTGGTCTTTTGACGACTTATCGTCCTTGACCTCCTCGACCTTCGTCTCCTTCCCATTTTCCTCCTTCTCGGCTTCTTCGAGTAATTGGCGTAGACGTTGGGCGTTGGGTTTCTTGCGAGGTGGGAGTTTGACAGGGAGCCACTTTGATTTGTCTGTGGGACATTTATGGTCCCGGCTCCATCCGGTATTGCCGCACTTGAAGCATCGCTTGTCGCTTCGCAACTTGTCGATCTCCATCGGCTGTCCGGCACCTCCATAGGTCGTTCCCGTGGCATCCTTCTTATCGCCACTAGACCCGTGCCCGCCTCCCTTCTGCGATGATTGGTTGCCTCGACCCAAACCGCCTTGGTTCGGGGAGGACTTACTGCCCAGCCCTTGGGCCACTCCGTATCGATAATTTGCATCAATACGCAACACTCGTGCCTTCCACTCGGCATAGATTGTGGGGCGCTCGTTGTCCCCATGCATAACCGTGTTGCGTACCGTTGGCCTGATGGCTGCTTCCACCGCTTCGAACATCTGCTTCTCGTCTCCGAACTCGTCGCACTTGTGGGCTAGTCTTTCGAACTTCGCGAAGAACTCCACTGCTGACTTGAAGTCCGATTGGCGGATCTTCTTCCATTCGGCCTTCCATATTGTTAGCTCCGCTACCTCACGGAACTCGCGCGTGAGGTCCTCGGAGAACTCCGCCCAGGTGGGGAATCTCCAATGCCCCTGCGGGTCCCGATACCAGTAGTACTGGTCGACCCACCACTGCTGTGCGTCCCCCCATAAGTACCCTTGCGCGAACGTGATGCGATAGGGGTTATGCCCCTGATCGTTCATGGTATAGTACATGGGGAACACCACGAAGTAGACTTCGCAGTGATGTAGGAAGCGTGTAATGTCCGAGGAGACCCCGGTGAAATATTCGGGCTGGGTCACCAGCTTGGGCTTGACGTCATTCCACGGGTTGTTAACCGCTCCCGGCGTGAGTTGCCAGGGAGGAATTGGCTCCGGAGGGGACAGGACGTGCGGGGGTACCGGCGCTTTGGGCGGTCGGGACACTAATCGAAGGTGTCGATTGTCTCCAGGCGGAGGATAGCCTCCGAAGTTTCGTGGGGGCTGCGACGGTGGTGGTCCCGTGGGTGGCGGTACCGTGGACTGCTTTCCCTTATCGGGGTGAGATGGCCCCGCACCTGCATCCGCGTAATCGTCGTCGTCCCCTGCTCCTCCGAAGAAGCCTTCTGGGAAGAAGCCCCCCATTTCCACAGGAGGCGGCATGGGTTGCGGCCGTCAATACGGTTCACACCCTGGCTGAGGGTCCGTCGGGTGGACCTGGTTCCATACTCCGGCTGCTCGATGCCAGGTTTCCACGTCTAGGATATTTTTCATGAGGTACATGTCGCCACTGAGGCGGGCGTGCCTGTAGTCCTCCCCCGCCTCCGTGAACAGCCACTGCGGGTCTTTCTCCATATCCTCCATCATAATCTCGTACAGCCCGTGCCATGGTAGGAGGTCGAAAATGCTCGGCCTAGGTGTTGGGCCCTGAAGAAGGACCTGCCTTACCGCTGCCATTACCGTTGGCTCCAGAGCCTGGTTTGGGGGTCGACTGGGCATCCTCGGCCTCCTTCCTCTCTCTGGCGAGGCGGTCGAGCTCGCAATTCCTTCTCTGCCTCTCGAGATCGGAGTCGTAATCGGTGAGCTCGGCCTCGTAGGTGGCCCAGGCTCTTGCTCGGGCTTCGAGATCGGCTCCCGCTCTTCAGGCTGCTCCGGAGTAACGAACGGCGGCCGCTCGTGTTCTATTTCTGATCTCGGCTGGGGTGGCGTCCGGTTCGAGGGGTAGGTCCCACCACCCGTTGGGTCCTTGGAGAGCGTCTTCCTCTGCTCGGCGGATGCGTGCGTCATGCGCTCTTCCTCGCTCCATTCTGGCCTCATTTTCTGGGGATGCCCGGGCATCTCGAGGGAGTCCGAGGGACTCGACGTACGTGTGATATAGGAGAGGCCACGGACGCTGGGATAGAGGGACGGGGTCGGCGAAGGCTCGCGCCTGGATGCTGGTCTCCCAGTTGGAGACTCCGGCGAGTCGCTCGGAAACGGTAACTGTTCCAAGTTCTTCGGCGTCGTACTCGCCGTACTCGCTCCAAAGCTCCCCATCCGTCGGCTCATGCGTGGGGACGGCGGGAGTGGACGGGGGCGTCTCGGTCCGGTCAGAGATTGTGTCGGACTCCGATCTGGGTGAGACTCCGGCCACAGGAGTTTCTTCCCTTGGGTCGGCGTAGACCCAACTGCTGCGGGGGTACCAAGTGACGGGCTCTCCCCTATCGGTTGGCCAGGACCTTGAAACAGGCTGTGAGTTATCTGTACAGGTGGTAGCCGCGGAGGCTCCGAGGCTAAGCTCTCCATCGTCCTCATCGTAGTCGTCTCTCCTTCGTGATGCGGCAAGCCTTGCTCGGTCGCGTGCGTCGTCCGCCGTGATCCTCCTCTCTCTGGCATGCTCCCACGTCTCTCCCCACTCGGAGGGCTCCCACTTGTTCTGGGATCTTCCACTCCAGTTGTCTCCGGTATGGGTTGCATCTTCTTCCTCGTTCGGGTAGAGGTCACCGAGGAGGTCTTCGAGTCGGATTCTCTCGAGCTCGGTGAGCTCGTCTCCTTCGAACTCTGTATCGACATCCTCTTCTTCGCGCGACTCCAGATCCCCTCCTTCTTCTCTTGACTCGCTTGAGACTGGAGGCTGAGCAAAGAGGCCTGGTAAGGGCGAGTCTCCTCGGTCGAGGAGTACCCCCCGGGTATCGGTGATATCGACGGACTCGGCGGAGGCGCTTCTGTAGGAGTCGGTGCTCGATCCTGAGGATCCCGAGCTGGACTGCGACGACCCGTAAAGGGACCCTCCAGGTCCTCTGGGTGTGATGGGTCAGCCATCGTGAAGGATTTGCTGGGATGCAGCCGGGATGAAGATTATTGGTGGTGGGTACGCCGGGGTTGCCAGAACGTAGTGGAATGGAAGCTGTGCTCGTACGCGCCTCTGTTGGCGACAGCACCGTTGGACGTAGTACAAGGAGGTGAACAAGAAAAAGGTTATAAAAAGCGCGGAGATGACGGGAATGGCGTCGGATAAGGGCATCCGTTCGAGGGCTTATTTTCTTGGATAGCCGACGGTAAGGATGGACCATACGACGGACAGTGCTAGGATGGTGAGAACTGCGAGGGTCGCGATAATCAGGTTGAGGTCAGTCTCGTAGGTGGGACTGGTCATCAACGGGATATCGTCATCGAAAGATGGGTCAGTCAATGTCAGCAGTATGACTGCTAACAGTGAAGCTAACTGTAAGGATAGTTTGAATAGGTTCGTGGTGCCTCAGACGAGGGGGACGTATGCGCCGTAGAGAGCGATTAGCAGTCCTGCTAGAATCGGTGCGGCGATACAGACTCGGATGAGGGCCAAGGTAAGTAGGACAGTTACTAGAACTGCAAAGATGGGGTCATTTATTAGGTGGGGAAGGATCCAAGCGATTACCGCGGCTTGGAGTAGTAGGTCAAAGGGAGTGACCCAAAGGACCACTACGACAAAGAAGTGTATCGGATGAATTTTGAGGTGAGTGCTTTTCCATTGGTCCACTCGTAACACGCTAACAACCACGAGGTTGTCCTTTTGAACGTGCGGCGATGACCTCTCTGGTCAAGCAAGAGGGTACTGCAAGATAAGAACTTGGGCAGCGCTCTTTCTCGGAAGTGACGCTGAGCAAGGTTTGTCGAGCTTCGGCTAAATGTTAGCCACTAACTCTTATCGACTTAGATCAACTCTAGATCGCCACTCGCACTTCGGTGGACGATACAAGAGGGGTCAAAGTAGATGGAAGAGAGCCAGCCGCGAACTTAGATAGTCACGAAACAGGGAGCTTTGAGATAGGTAGATTAAACCTTAGCCAAAGCTGGGGTTTAGACCAGCTGAGGCTCTACTTAAATACACGTTGAGTAAACTAAAAATAGTACTGTGAGAATGTCTGATCAGAACCGCAGCATAGAGTAAGCGTGAATGCGTAAGAAAAGAGAAAGAAAAGAAAAAGAAATGAATAATCCGTAACACAGTGCCAGCCAAATTCGTAATGCGCTGCAAGGGTCGGATATCCAGCAAATCTCTATATATGTTGATACTACTACTAGATGGATCTTCCTCGATCTTTTCACGAGTTGCCGCTCCCAGTTACATTGCGCAACCTGACCAAGCTCACTCTCTGGCACCATTCAAATGTAATATGCAATGACGCCAACTTTGTTCGTCGACTTTCCCACTTTGTCAGGCCTTGTCCCAATCTAGGAGATTAACATGGACAAGTTTCAATATAGGCAAGTCCATGTGTCGTGACTCTTCTACCGCACTCTGATTTAATCTTCCTTTCATGTATAATCAGTCCTCTCGAGCCACTCGGCCTGGGCAACACCATCCATCCCTCATGTCCATTTGTGTCCTCATCACGGGCAACTTTGAGACGAACATGACACTCGACTGGTGGGCCTCCACTTTGAGGCAGCTCAAACATCCACTCTCCAGGATGACTATCGAAATCGAGTTTGATATCGAGAATATTCCCCGTGAGGTATAGGACAAGTTTCCTCCTGCCCGTACTCCTGCTTGGGCGGCTCTTGTCCTCTTGATGGACCTCACCTGGCCTTGGCTCAAAGTGTATGAGATTCATACAAGACACTCGAGTCTCAGCGGGTTTGGGAAGATTTCAACATGAGCATGATGTCGATGTGCTTTTGTCAAGTGTCTCCCTTAGAGTAAAAAGAAATATGGGAGGAATTTCACCGGTTAGTGAAGGAAAGATCTCCTCGCCCCAAATATGTATGTGTTACACTCCTCTGAACAATTTGAATTACATACCTCTTCCTCATACATCTAATTTACTTATAGCTTTGTTGTCCCTCTAACATGTATGAACTGTCTCTATTATATTGAATTCATTATAAAGAAGATTCTAGTCGCCGTCAGCGTTACTCGTTCAAATACTTGAAGACATTCTTCTCGTGGCTCTCCACAGCAAATCAAACTCCATTTTGCCGCCAATCTTATTCTCAACTTTCGAGCCTGTGTCTTCGGCTTGACGAGGCGGAATCTTGACCGTCTGCCGGGTATTCTATTGGTTTAATTTCTTGGAATATCATCGATTTTTTATCGAACCTATAGTGACACCACGACTTGAGCAAATACCAGCAAGGTCGTACACGCCTCGGCACGTGGCGAGCCCTTGTGCTGAAAAGCAACCCACAGTCATAAAGTTTCCTTTTCCGTCATCTGCCATAAGCAAGTAAGTACAAATAGGTGGCTGTGCTCAATTCAGCAGTCCCCTTCCTATACTCTCGCATCTACCAAAACCAAACAATCACAACATAGCCGTGCAGCATGTCAAGACTCCGTACTCAGTACTCAGCTGTTTACCATCTCGATTCTATCGTACCTGTAATACTAGCTTCAAAAAGTCGCCTCGCATATTGAACCTGGACAGCCGGGGAATGCTTGAGAATTATATTGGATCGTGAGTGACTAATACCTTCTGTGTTTTCCCTTCGCTGATGCGTCGCACTCTATAGTTTGTTCCACTTACGAGGACTAGTACTACTCATCGCTGTCCTAGCACAATTAACACTGCATCTGTCCTTCCCTATGTTCTACCAACAAGAAGCACGCTTTCTCACTTCGTCTCCGGACACTTGCAGAGGAAAAGTCTCCCTTTGGGGTCCCGTGCTCGATACACGAGAACATTGTATCCAACAAGATCATTATCGCGTATATCAGCCAGCAAGATGAGGATCGGTACAAGCTTGTAAAAGACGACCACAAGGTGATAGTTGAGGTGCTGAAGGAGCTCGTCCAGGGGAAGAATATGGGAAATGGCGAAGCAGAGTGGAAACTGAATGCTTTTCTGGCAGAGTGAATAGCCAAGTATGACCAGGACCAGAGCTAGGTGTGATCGCCTGGACCACCTGGGAATGAGCTCGCCCATCTGCTGTTCATGGCCCCGATGAAGCTCTCAGCTACCCTCGATATATTCTATTCAGGTTTTCACATGGTGCACGCAGTCGATATGATATTGGCGAGTACATCTATTAGTGCTCTACGCCATTGTTCCTCAACTGTTCACTAGATTCTGCCATTCTCCTCCCATTCGCCGTGTATCCACCACACTACGACGAATCGGCATCAACCCCAACCCAACGACCCATCCCCATGACTCTGCTTCAGTCGTTCATTCCCTCCCGATATTGCGTTATCCCTTACCACTCAACGACGTCCACCTGTTCCCGCTGCGTCGGTCTCTCGATGGACGGTGAACGTGCGTTGATGGAAAGTGGAAAAGGACCTTTATTTCTGTCTGGAAAGGAGGGAGTGAGGCGGTCCTTGGGAACTAGGGGAGAGTATGCCTGGAAACTGGAGGCTGCGTAAAGTACGACCCCACCCCATCCTGGTGTGTGGGTGTCCGAGTTTTGGCCGGAGACGACGGATCGTCTTCTGGCAAGCAAGACGTCTGCGTGATGTGGTGGTGAGATGAGGTGTCACCTCGACTACCCACTCGTGCCTGCCTGCCATCGTCTGCGCCTAGACGATGTATTCAAAACTGGCTCACACACTCACGGCGAAACCTCACATAAGGTAGAGGCGGCAGGCAGTCTTAGGAGGGGCTAGTTTTCTTCGACACCATGTATCAACATCTGGCGAGCGAGGGCATGGCGTCGGGGTATTGTTGGGGATACAAAGAGTATAGGACTAGGGTGAACTGGACATGGTACGCACGTCGCACGATGTCGACTGTCTTCGTTACTGATCATTCATGTTTAGGCTGTTATTGTACACCTCTCACCCCAGCCTGTTCCTGGACGACAACTTTTGCGCCGACACGATGTATCGACGTCCGGTGAACAAGCGCACGGCGTCATGGCACTGGTCGGAATTTTGGAATAGATCATGGGTCTGAATTCGGGGGCTCTTATTAGAGATGGTTCGGCACTATGCAGTGTGGATTTTTCAATGCACAAATGATCTACGACGTATACGACTGGTACATCGGTATTTTGTGGATGAATCTATTTGTAGTACTACGATGTAAGCGCCATCAAAGAAGCAGACGTGCCACGCAAGCACTTCGTAACCAAATCTCCAAATCTTATCACCGTCAACGAGTTTCGCGCCGACGAAATAATTTGTTTGTTATTATAAGTCCAGGTGAGTGACATGAATGTATTTCATTGGACTTGCGTAGATCAACCCGAACAGGAATCATCGCTTTCGGTGTTTCCTTACGTGTTTTGAGTCGGGTGCATTACCAATGAAAAGGTTAACTCCTCAAGAAAGGGACGGCGGCGGGATTCAAGGACGGGATTCAGGACAAGATTCAGCAAGGTCGTATTCGCCTCGGCACGCGGCGGGCACTTGTAATCCATAGATGTGTTCAGAAGTTCGATCTATGCTCGCCTGTTTTTGCCTAAAGGCGTGGCGTCTAGCTGTGGCATTCAGTTAGTAGCTGACTGAATACACACATAAACCGGTTTGTGTCAGAAATTGCAATCACCGTTTGGGAGAGACTCTGGTAAACGCTACATTGAAATGTATGATACGATGTTTATTCAGTAGGTGTCAACGGATCGGATATCCGCCGATTCGGGTCTATCTTGACATCGGTCATGAATACCATGTCCCCGTTGGTTTCGGGCGTGTTTCAATGGCGTGTCCCTGGCATCCCCACACTTACACCAATTAGAATGCTGACTCTCACGTAGGCTTCTTCTTAGAGCCCAGAATAACTTTGTTTCACTGGGTTTCTATGCCAGTACTTGCCCCGCATCGCCGCGCGCTTGCTAGGCTATTTCCACATCCGTAGTGCCTGCGTGAATGTGCCCGTTTGCGCTTGGAGACTTGGCTTTATGTCATTTTGTATTTCGCCCAACGCCTTCGAGGATCGATCCTTTCTGGATACACACTCGGGTTAATTAACGGAGACAGCAGTTTGAAATTTCCGGGCATCAAAATCCACCCATGGTCGATTGGGTTGCTTCTGCGCATGTCCTGTATGACGGAACTTGATTTTGAATATGATCATTTTCGACTTAACGTTCTAGATCGCCTGTTCTTTCCACCTATAGTTCTGACGCAGATTAAGGACACGCTGACTTCTTGGAAAATGTAGATAGACAGATGGAATGATGGATTCAAGAATTACTTACTCAGCTTGTTGAATTGAACTACTTTTAATTACTAAGGCTATCTTGTGACCGTTATCTCTCTAGTCTTCTCTACAAAGCACAGCTTCCATGTCTTCTGTCCGACACTTTTGCCGGCAGTGTTACGAGGAAAATCTGGATCATAAGGATTACAAGGGTAAGATGATTGGAAAGAAGCAGAACAAATCAGCCCAACTTTGCGTGCATTTTAGTTTCGGAGGCGCCTCATAGACCTTACTACGAAATATTGACCCCCCCCCAATCTTCTCTGTTAGGTGGACCCTCATTATCAATGCGGTAGCCCTCTCCAATGTCGCGCCTCGCGAACATCAAATTAAGTGAAACTAGGTAAGAACTTCCACGTGTTCCCAGGGTCCTCCCGCCGATACTGATTGATTAACATCTTTTCTGACTTGAGTCTGTACCCTGTTGTTGTATATCCAGTTCTGTTCGGAAATAATATCGCAAACGTTCCTATGCTGTCTTGAGAGCCCGCGGATGACTTCAGATTTCTACGATGTCTTCTCATCAAGTTTTCTTACTCGCCGTAGAATAAGGTCCCCGCGTATAATGGTGTTTCCCTGATGAACTTGGCAGTGTTCTCCCGGATCTTCTGCTGAAACAGCTGACTACCAGTATTGCGACCTTGTAAGTCCCAGTCGCGTCGACGGCCTTAGCTGCCCAATCGTTGCCCTGAGCTTATAAAGTGAGTCCTATCTCTGATATCTTCCATCCTCCCAGTCGCATTTGACCTCGTGTTTCTTCCTTTGCCCCTTCATTGTATACATGATGTGCCGCCGTCGCCAGTGAGCAGATCCTCGTCATTTCGTCAATATCTACTCTCTGCTTATCACTTAACTATAGAGTAAGGAACATCTATCTCCAATGTGGCCATGCTATCAACCTCGTATGCCATTACTATTCTGATATACTGACTACCAAAATTTACGGGTCATCGGTAACTTAGCCTGACAAAATCGTATGTCAAATACTCGCAATATCAGCCATCTCAGGTTCATTTTTCACATTTCTTCTCAACTTTTCTTAGATTCAGTGCGAGGAGTCTAAATGCAAGTTTAGTCTATTCCATCCTGCGAGCTGTAAACCGCCAATTTGTCTGCGTACCTGCTGGCAATAGTATGTATATACCTGCTTGAATCACCCTCATTCTAACCCGTAGCCTACAGCCTTCGCTATCCGGAACAGTATTGTATGCTTTGGAATATCCCGTTCTTCCCCGCTAATATTTATGATAGCACCCAATATCAGAGGGTATTGCCCTTCATGCTACCAGGGAACGCAATACCAAGGACGTCAATAAAAAACGATTTACTCCGTCGGTCATTATTACTATAAAGTTAGATCACACGACGAGCTTTCGACCCAAAGGATATTAATTTTTCAAGTAGAAGACCGCTGATCTTGTTTAGCTACTAATGTCCCGGAGTTCTGAGTCCTCATTTTCGTCACCCTAAGTACGGTTTTGAATTCATCTCATGCGAAGCGCTTGACGATCTGTGTTTCTTGATGCCGGACATCCCTGATCGACGAACTGCCCCATGCGGATTCAAAAAAGATTTACTGTATACCACAGCCATCTCTACCGCAGACCTTGGCGTGTGATATGATGATATTTGCGTCCGGCACACCTAAAGGTCCGGGGCCCCGCAATGATGAGATAATGACTGGGACCCTTCAGACCATTTGCCTTCACCGATCGGATAGATCGTGATCGTTCGGATCTTGGATCGAATTCTGGTTCTAGAATTGTAACAGTAAGCAGGAATGGACCGATTCGAACTGAGGTCGTCAATGGTGTACGAAAAAGTCCCGGTGAATTCGCCATTGCGATATGATTCGTTGGTCCGTAAGGACGATCGATAGCTCTGTATAATCTATACGAATGAAGGAAGCTAGAGAATGAAAAAGAGATCAAGGTTGGGAGTCAGTTCTCCTCGCATTAATTACCCTGAGTGCCGAGACGAGGTCGTCCTCTGTGCATACGAGGCCAATCTTGGTTCACAGAGGTCGAATCATTACAAAGAGAACGAAATTTCGCAATGAAATACCACCCTGGGAAAGCACTTTTGGGCTGAGTCTATCGTGTATTCAACAAAGAAACAAAGTTACTGGGGGTGCGACCAAGTATCATGCAAAGGTGGACTTCAAGCTATTGACGGCAAGTCTGCAGGCGAGGGTTGATATAACTAAGGCGCATGATGTCTGGTTTTCCCCGCAATTCTCCTCTGGCTGGCGGCACTGAAATGTGGGTATGGGGTAGGCATGCTTCGCCACTGCGGGGGACAACCACCCATTACCGCAGGCAGGTAGGTACATGATAGAATCGCTCAACAGGAGTTTGCGTGGAAATCTTTGAGCTTCGAGATGATGTCGCGGCGAGTGGTATTGATATCCATGTAGAATCAGGTAAAGTATGTTGTATCTTCACATATTATGCGGCCGTCATGTCGTTCATTGCGAAGAACAGGTGGGATGTAGAAAGGTAGCATTTGAGAAGGCAGGCCAGAGGTCCATCGGTGGTCGAGATAGGCTACCATGGTGGCCTTATTTCAAATGACCGATCTAGTGAAGTAGCCTTGTATGATGGATATAGAAAGTTGCGTGCACTTCGGGCTAATGGTAGCGGCGCCAATCTTTTTCGCGAGAGCTTTGACGCCGAACACAAACAACTTCGTGTGCTAAGGCTTCAAGATCGGAAAATATCTGCAACATAGATCCGTCAGTTTCGAGACGAGCAAGTGACGAAATATGTGTACTTGCCTCGTCTGCTGGGTGGGCGCGCTGCCGGTCTGTAATGCGTGATGGCATTGCGCGCAATGAGCCTTTTCGTGATAACGGCCTTGAGGGCGATTGGTCCCGATGTTTACGACCGCGCCGAATCACATCAAGAAGAGAGTGGTCTGAACCAGCGAAACGCATGCCAAAACTTTGGGCTAAGTCTCGGCCAATCAGGCCCATGGTGTTGGTGGTGATGAAGTTATACGAGCCAACGACGATTGAGGGAGGGAGGACGAGCGAAACAAGCTGAGTATGGGTTCGCCCCGCTGAGTGGGGTGAAACCTTGTCCCGCAGTACACTTTCAGTCATTGACGAGGTCGTATGGCGAGGGTCGGCCATAGCGACTCCTCTTTCTCCCCAGAAACTCTCTCATAGCACCAATATGGAGGTCGTCTCGTCCAACGTCCTTTCCATTCACGGGTTTTCAGCGACTCTAGAATGCACGTCGGATTTTCACGACATCGTCAAGCACCCTGTCAGTCAATATCGTAGCTGATAGTGTGACAATGACTGTGATGCCGCCTGCCCCTCGCGGAGGTGGGGATATGGTGATGCTGACATGTGGGGATCATCGCTGCACATGCCGGCGTGGTATAGAGGCCGGCTTTCCGCGATTTGAAAGGTCGTAGCCCGGAATCTGTTTCGCTCGATTGTAGACAAATGTGACAGACGGGGCATATGTCACGAGTCTCCAGCGAAGATGGTGAAACAGAACCAATGGCTATAGAGTGACAGCCGTGAGTTTGAGGCCAAAGAAAAAAGACGTTTAACGCACAGATCTTCAAATCTCCTTAATTAACACCTTCCTCAGCGCATTGGTAACTTTAAGACCCCGATACTAGCACCCATCCAGCCTTTCTTGTGTGCAATTCTCGTTCCTGGTTCTCCCTGGTAATGGCACTTATTCTGGTCGCATGACGCGGACACATGAGGTTGAGAAAATGAACAAAAGTTAATCAACCCACATAAGTCTTTTACTTTAAATTTTCAAGTCAACGTCCCAAGAGTGCTGAGCATACCTCGGCTCCTGCGAGATCTTTCATAGCGACGTTCGTAGCGCATGTTTTGCGCATGCTGGTCCGTGGCAGAGGATAGGTCAAATTATTTACGTCATGCCGAAGACTTGCCGGGTGATAAAAGCCCATCCAGGAATGGCCACCTGGGCCAAATCCGAGGAGATAAGGGGAACTTGCACAGAGACTCGCCACAGTTCGATAGAAGTGTCCGTGTGCTGGTGAATATTTGTTCCGGCTTGTCCGCAATTTAACAAGATCTTCTTGGTTATCCAACCGCTGCCTGTTATAGCCTCTCACCTTCCCACTGATCTTCACCAGGTGATAAAATATTAAATAAATCGGACGATACAAATAGGAGTCAATGCTGAAAAGGTAGTGTCAGCCGCAATAAAAATACTTGGTACGCAGGATTCTTATACCCTTGTAAACATCACTCTGACAATGCCTCGATGATTACTACCAACCCCGGTCTTGATAGTAGACGACCGGGTCGTCTACTATCAAACTGTGCTCAGTGAGTGGATCTCTTGTGCTCGAGTCATAGCCTCCATTTTTAAGTCAGTTTCGCCCATCAGGGTGACGTGTCATGTAGCCGCGTTCTGTTCCATCTAATAATATGGATCGACGGGATTGCGTATCTTTTTGTTGTATATCCAGACTGCTTAGAAACACCACCACCAAAGGCAGGTCCTCTATCTTAAAAGGTGAGTGACTTCACATCTTCTGCTGTCTTCTTACCAAAATTCTGACTCCCGTAGAATGATCCGTTCGGCCTTGACTCCTCGGACCCTTCCCTGATAGACTCGGTAGCGCGGTCTGAGCCTTAGCTCTTTATTCGACACAGCCTAGTACCAATATTATGACTGTGCAAGTCCCGTTCAACTCGGCATAAGCTACTCGTAGTCAGCACAATTGTTGACCTTGGTTTATAAAGCGAGTAGTATCTCTGGTATCTAGCCTTTCAGCATCCTCTTTCAACCTCCCAGGCGTGTTGCGTCTCTTCGCGCCTTACCCAAAAACACAATGTGCCGCCGTCGCCAGTGAGCAGACCATCCCTGCTGCATCAATCCAGTCCCTGCTTATCGCTTATGTATAGAGTCAGGAATGTCTACCTCCAATGCGGTCATACCGTCAACCTCGTATGTCCTTGTATCGATCACCGACCTTGCTAATCGCTGTCAATTTAGCCTGAAGAAATTGTACGTCAAAGAATACACAATTTTATTCACTTCAGGCTGAGTCTTCGCACTCTAAATGTTTCTCAGATTCGATGCGAAAATTCCAAATGCAAGTTTAGTCTATTCCATCCTAAGAGCTGCAAACCACCAGTCTGTCTGCATACCTGTTGGCAATAGTACGTCTACACCGGCCCACCCGAATCGCTGTCCTCCTACTAACCCAAGTCTCTAGCCTTCGCTATCCCGAGCAGTATTGTATATCGTGCAATCTTCCCGTTATTTCACGCTAACATCTACGATAGCCCCCAACATCAACGGATTTTGCCCTTCCTGCCAGTGCTACTGGGAAATGCAATACTACCAAGGACGTCATTAAACTAGGATTTACATAATTACATGGACTCGGACCCTACGATGACCAGCCTTCGACTCGAAGGATAAGTATTTAAATAAAGTACTAGTAGAAATCCTGTGGAATGCATGCCCCGTATTGCTGAATCAGCATTTTGACCACAAGTAAGAATCCGAATCTATTTTCTGCGAAGCGCTCAGCGATCTATGTAATACTAATTTAGACGATCACCGATTCCGTCATTGGCGTCAATTCAAGTATGCGCCAAAAAAGGGTACGTTGGATACCCTGTAATATAATGTAATATGAGAGCGATGGCGCTTCAAATTCCAAAAGCCCGTCTACTTAGCCGGCATAGATTGAGGCTGTCCTGGTTCAAATGTTCAGAATTTTTTTGTTTACATAAATAGAAAATCTCGACAACAATTCGCAATGGACTTTCCCAGATTCGAACTGAGATCTTTGCGACCATAGGGAAATAAATCGCTGCCCTGAAAACCCCCATTAGTTATGCTGCTACGATAGCATTTGTCGGTGCGTAAGGTGATCCTCATGTATAAGCCTATGCTTTGTTTACACGGCGAGACGATGCGGATAGGTGGCATCTCGAAAACGCAAAAGAGATAAATGTCCCGAGTTCTTTTCTCGCTTATATCGATTGCTCGACGGGCTGCGGGGGGTTCTTCCTCCATGCAGCGCTAAGTCGTTACGGAGGGGACAGATTTTCACAATAAAGCACTATGCCGGCCGACCACGTCCTGATGGAGGCTTCGGCTCTGACGATGGAGATACTAAACTTTGCAGAGGGTATATCCAGGTACCGTACATAGGTAGACTCTGGTATGATATATCGTTGCCGTGCGTCTGCGGATCAGAGAATGACACGAGATCGTAAGGCTAACACGGGGATGCTGAACAGTGACGTGCAAAAGATAACCCGTTGGTTCCGATAAGCGAGATATCCTTGCAGGGAAATGTCGTGGAGTGGTTCTTTTCAAGTTTGAAAGGATCTGCAGGTGGCAGAGTGGTTATTTGACGCCTTGTCCTACAACGGTTTCTGATACGACTTGAAGGTCTCCAGGTGCCTTCCATGTGTCGTCCTTCCAACTTCCAAGGAACGACATTTCGCCACTCCTGACTCCCCGCGCAAAACATTCTCCTCGTGAATCACAACAACGCGCAAATCGCCGTATTTGCAAAGCATGGCTCGCTCCCCATAACAAAGTCGACCTCACGTCCCCCAAACCACTCGCTCATCCTTCAAGGTTCTCTTTCGCATTTGCACATAGCTTCTCCCGCACTTCACCCTCTGGCACCATCTTTGGAGCTCCGCCCACACCGCCATCGCGCCTTTCATCCTTTTCGTCCAGTACGGGAAGAGGGATGGCTGGAAGGAAAGCGAAAGTGTCGATTACTGCGTCGGAGAAGGGAAGGTGGTGTATCATCGTCCCAGTGGGTGTTGGTGCTGGCATAAGGTCCCAAGAAGGAACGACCAGGCCCGCAGCCCTAACGTAGCAAGGTACGCGCTGGGTATGAGCACAGATTCCGAGAGGGGTACGTTTCATCGAGATGGGCCACTATGGTGGCCGTGTCAGAGATGGCGGCACCAGTGAAGCAGTCTTGGATGATGGGTATGGACAGTCGCTCCCGCTGGGAGGTAGGGGCGCCAATCCTTGCGGTGAGAGCTTTAACATCGGATATCGGCACCAAGTTGTCGAGGTTCAAACGGTATCTGCACCGTTAATTCATCAGTTTCGAAACGAGCCGGCGACGGGAACGTGGGCGTACCTCGTCCGCCAGGTTGACGCGCTGCTAGTCTGTAACACAGAAGATGACTTTGCTCGGGCTGAGCCATTTTGAGATAGCGACCTTGAAGGCGACTGTCCATATCCACGTTGAATCACATTGATAAGAGGGTGATATGAGGCGGTGAAGCACATGCCAAGACTATCGACCAAATGTCGTCTAGTAGGCGTACTGCTCGTCTTTTCCTCTGACTGGTGGCAGCGAAGGGTGTTCTCTTGCGGATCGACATCTAGTCTTGCATGAGATTGGTCACTTGCTAGAGAAAAATGGTCACGTACCCATCCAAGACCTGCATGTATGTGCTATCATCGGGCCGTAAGATTTGTCGCGCTATGGCACAAGCGAAGCCGACATTGCTGGTAGTATTGTCGGTGACACCTAGGCAGTGTCATGTTTTCATTCCAAGTGCAAGGTCTACATCGTCCGTGAGGCTCGTCGTACAGAGTTGAAGGTAGCGCACCAACTTTTTCCCGCCCCTTTTGAATGTCTGGTCAATATTGTAGCTGATAGTATGACAATGACAGTCGTCGTGCCTCCTGCAAGTTCTCGCAGTGGTGGGTGTCGATACGTGGGTATTGCTCGCCGTAAGTACCAGTGTAGTAAAGGGACCGGTATTCCATGATCTTGATAGCTGTAGCCCATGCTCTGTTTTGCTTGGCTGCACGATTGCGACAGATGCCGGGGCATATGAGACTTCAGCAATGACGAAAAAGTAGAACTGCTTGCTAGTGGTAGCTGTGAGTTTGAGACGTAAAGCAAAAAAGACAGTTAACGCACAGATCGGCAAGTCTTCGTAACTAACACCCTCCAGTCACCGACGTCGACCGTTTTTCTGAGTAGATTGACAGTGACCACCTGGCCCATTGTTTCTCTATTCCAACGCGGAGTATCTGGGATAGGCCTAGGTTGGATTTACGCCTTGTATCCATACTCTGTGCATACCGGTGAATTTCTGCAACGCAAGAGAAAGACAATTGTCTTACCAAAAAGCAAAGGGACTTCGGCTGCCGCTCCCTAGTATATATTCACCACTGCTGAACATATCTCAGCTCCTGCGAAATCGTCCTGAGCGACATTCGTGACGCATGATGATGTTGGTCCCAGGTGAGGAGTTAAGTGCACGTGGCAGAGATCGCTCCAGTCGGTCCGTGTGCCGGTGAGCGTTTCTTCTTGGTTCCTTCACTTGATATGAGGCTATCAATCTAAGAAGATATTCTTCAAGCTGGTGTTTTGCTACATACTATACTCGCAACTATCAAGCTGTTACGTCAAGCTATCGCTCAGCTCTCAAGACCTTGTTTTCCCGAAGTTCTTTCCACACTCGTACGCTCTGTTCTGTGTCTGGCACGATACCCTGTGAATGCCACTCTGACAAATGTCTCGATGATTATCAGCGGCTCTCTGTCATCGAAATATCTCAAGTATCTACAAGTTGAAACGCATGTGGACCCAGATTGCTTTACTCGATGCTCTACACTATTGAAAATGCTCTATACTACTAAAGGAAGTCTACTAGTTAGCTTTTCCTCGTCGAGCCCTCCCCATCTTGTAGCCCCATTGTATCTGGTGCGCAAGATGTATATCTACATCAAGGTCTTGCGCATATCTTAACACGAGACCCGGATTCTGTTGGAAGGCTCTACCGCACAATACCACATCAGCTAGACCGTCTTCCAATACGCCTTGCGCCGTGTGACCGTCAGTTATACCTCCTACAGTGGCGACCAGTAATCCAGGATTGGTTCTTCTCACGGCATGTGCTAACGGTGACTGGTACGCAGGGCCCGGAATAATCTTCTGCTTGTTGTTGTTGCCGCCAGCCGACACATCTAAAACATCAACGCCGTGAGCTGCAAGAATAGGCGTGATTCTGACGGTATCCTCCGAACGCCACGAGGGGATGTTGGGGAGGGTCTGTTCTACACATTCACTTCCTGATATTCTGACGAGCAAACATGTTAATAGCCGACCATCGGTACCAATCAAACCGACTCACCTGTAGAAAAGCGGCATTTCGAGAGGCATCACAGATCTAATCGCGTCGATTACTTCCAAAGCGAAACGAATACGTTTTTCAAAGCTTCCACCATACTCATCGGTACGATGGTTACTGGTTGGGCTCATGAACCCAAACAGCAAGTAGCCATGCCCACCGTGGACCTCGAGAGCATCGAACCCGACTTTCACAGCTCTCTCTGCCGCCTTCCTGAATGCCTCCACCACCTCTTTGATCCTCTCCTTCGACATCTCTTTCGGCAACGGATAGTCGTCATTGAATCGAAGCGGCGACGCAGCATAGACATTATCAGCCCATCCTCCAAGCTCCGCCGTCGCCAGTTTAGGGCCAGGTAACCATGGTGCGGTGATGGACGCTTTTCGGCCAGCGTGTCCCAGCTGCATGGCGATCTTCTGATTCTGCGAATGCGCGAACTCGACGATAGGCGCCCAGAGAGCCACATGTTCGTCCGACCAGATACCAGCATCTTCGGGAGTGATGCGGCCCTCTGGAACGACGGATGTAGCTTCGGTGAATGTAAGTCCAGGACCACGGGTGAAGATGCCGCCAACTATGAGACGATGAGATACTATTAATTACGGAACATATAAAACGTACGATGCGCGAAATGCCAGGGGGTTATCTTGCCATCCTTCGCTGAATACTGGCACATGGGCGATACCTATACCAAGGGGCCATTGAGGACGTTGTCATGGCCTCGTAAGATGTCTTACAAAAATCCTGTTCTGCACAGTTAACCCTCGTATCGTGAGCGGCTGGAAAAGAAGCGGTATAGGTTTATCATCGGGTTGGGAAGCGGCGGCGGTCCCAGCAGGGGGGTTTTGCTCGGGCGTGAAGAAAGAGACGCCTTTCACTGCTACGTTGGCGTTCATGAGAACGATTTGAAGGGCTGGTAAAGATCTAAATACTGGTCTTGTCTGCAGCTTTTATAATCGGCTTGCGATAAGATTTCGGTAGCATTCTTCTGTACACAGCCCGGCGTGAGTGAATAGAAATGCTGAGAAACCCGGAGATCAGTTTCCGGGTCCTGGAAATATAGAGAGACTCGATTGTATATCATACTAAAGGTGATTTCAAGGCTTACCTACTTCCTACTACATGAAGGACATTTGAAGGGCATCCAACGATTCAGATAAGCCTAGTTCGGCAGCAGCAGCTAGCACCATACGATGAGAGCATATATGAAAAGGCCCTTTTAATCCTAGGAAAAGCAATTCAGATGAAATCTTTCGAACGGAATTCCCGCAAAATCCGTTTCGAACGTGCTCGAATTCACATGAGGAAACATGTGAGAAAGTTTACTAATACATGCCAGGCTAATCAATAAACTTGAATTGATTCCTGGAAAACCTCACCGCTCTGTCAAAGACCCCATCCTGGTTACTCGGAGGAACACCTCCGTGTACTGTTGGCGTTACTGCGCGATCTCATCACGAAATAGTATGCAGCCGAGGCACTTGTACGTCTGCGACGATGACCTTAATACAGTGGGGTAATATGAATGATGTATAAATAGCACGCAGGGCTGACACGGCCCCGAGTCTTCGACGGCGTACACCACTGTTCTAGACGAGCGTGAATGCGATGGATCATGAGGTTTGACCTATATCAATCGATGCACATGCTTCCCGCAAGTCCTGTGTGCCCTGTGGAGGGGCGGTGGTCGGATGACGACGCTCACGATTCACAGGAAAGCAGCTTTCATCTCTTTTAACCCCTGATTTTCATTTTGGTACATGCAATAGAGACAGACAGACAGAACAGGACAACGAAGAAAAAACCGAAATGTAGATAAGAAACCGAAGTAGTACAAGACGTAAACAAACAAGGAACGAATAAATGAATTCAGATATCCAAGAGTCCAGGCTGTCCAGCTAGTTTAGGAGAAGTATGTATACAACTGCATGTCGTACAAGATAGAAAAGAGATAGAGAGAGCTCATAGAGCACCCAGGTAATGGAAGGCGCTCGCTCGCTCATCCTACTACGAGTACTTAGAAGCCAGCGCTCTCAGGCCCAACTCGAGGCATTACTGAAGATTAGATCGTGAAGCGGGAGTCATTTTCCGAGTTATATTAAGTGCAGAAGCGAGAGACGGAGCGAAAGAATCGGAGGAGATGTCGAATCCATAGAGACAGCGCCACCATTCTAAAATAAGAGTTGCTGCGTGAGCCTGCACTCCGGGAATGCGGAAATTTGAGAGAGTCGGATTTACTTGCCTATACCTAAGATTTCATGTGAAAAACAGGACTTACTGATACTGGTAGCCATACCAAAGGTTCAAGAAAGCATTGAATCATCCCCGGAATGTAAGATATCGAATTTCAATCCAGGCTGCCGTAATCGAGCTCTGAAAGCAAAGATTCAGGAATTCCCTGAACTAGTGACGAAAGCCTCCGTTCAGGGCAAAGTTTCGGCAGATGGTAAACCTAAGGTTTGCGGGGGCCCGGAATGCATGCCCAGACCTTTGATTCCCGTGCCGACATCCAGTATACCCAAATTAGGATTCATGACCCCGTTCCGGCCCAGGACGCCCCAAACCTTAGTTTCGGCTTTGCCTAACACGGATACCGAAATAAAGTATTCCAGACGGGATTTCGGTAGCACTCACATTTTCAGTACTGGTCTTGCCGAAGTATGTACCGAAACAGATGCTTTCGGCATTGATTCAGGGTAGCTGGAAACAATTAGCTTCGGTTCGAACACCGGAATCTCGTGATCCATTCCTGCTTTCTTTGATTTGAGATAAATTTCACGCCGTCTTGGAACTTTTGATATCGGACGAAATTTCAGCAAGTCTCATTCACTTTCCGAAAAGTTAGGTATAGGTACTATAGTCAGGATGTCCTAAATTTCTACATTTACGGTGTGCTGTTGAAAAGGTCTGCGACAGCGGCCGTACCTGTGTGAGCGATGACAGTCAAATCTGATCCGGTTGCTGGTTAGATAGTATTGGAGGTAAAGCCTTGCAGGTGCGCTGTTTTTCCAAATGGCAAGCTTTGTCAGTTGTGTCCGGTGCCTGCGTTTCATGAGTTTCATGGTTCGTGTGCCGCTGCGGACGGGCTTTTTCTCTGATTGGCGTGTTTCGTTACTGGCATTTCTCCAACGCCTGCATTTCCTTCCTGCCATTTTTGAGGTCCGTGGTCACATCCTCGCTTATGCACGATTGGTGAAATTGATGTCATAATTCATTTATCGGGTACATGCAAATTGACAGAATCGGTTTTCTGCTCGTGCTCGAGGTCAATGCAAAGTCGACGCTCAAACGGGTAGCAGTTCCATGTCCTACAAAGTTTTTTGGAGCCCATAGAACACCAAATGAAGGTTGTCTCGATACTAGTTGGTCCCATTTACCTTGCCGTTTACAGCTTCCTCTGCAATCTCTGTTCTCCCGCAATTCCGTAACGCCTGTCGGTAGTGAGCTGGGAAATCTCGCAAACGCGCAGCGGCATTTCTTACGTTTCAGCAGCGGCATGGAAATCAGCAGCTTCGGCTAGGGTTATAGATTATTCACCGAATTCCCGTGCGACGTAGCCGATTGTGATGATGGGGTCATGCCTCTTGCAGGGCTGAGGAGTGGTGGGGGTTAGGTGTACTGCAGTGCGTCGTCGTAGATACCAGGGCTGTCAAGGGAGATAATAATGTCCGACATTCGATTCCGACAGTCGTAGCCCATAATCTGCTCTGCTCAATTGTGCATAATTGTGATGGACGAAGCCATACGGCGCGTCTTGGGCATCAGTGAATGGTCAAGCGGAACAGATGGCTAGCGACAGCTGTAAGATTGAGAAACAGAGGAAGAAAGACGATATACACACGCTTGTGTCCTCCTGGCTAACATCCTAATCTCCAAGCTTCTTTCTTCCGCCTGGTATACCAGTTGTTTTTCTGAGATTCCAGCTCACCTATGCCAGCAACCATCCAGCCTGTTGGTTTTCTGCTTCGACAGGGTACCTCGGAGCTAGGTCGTGCATGGTATCATGCATCATGCACTGTATAGCATTATCAATAAGTTTCTATCATGTACGAAAAGGACAAGGTTTACCCGAATACAAAGGAGACGAGACGCGGTGCGATGCACCAACTGATGCATCTACTATACATATCCGCCTCTGCCGTCCTTATGACTATCGGGAATATGTGAAATCCTGTAAAATTCCCGTGGCGCCATTGTAATGTACATCGGAGTGCTGTAGTGAATTCATCCTCCATACAGATGAGAGACCAATGCTGGTTCAGAGTAGTCGAATCATTATGGAGGACAGATTTACACAACAAAATACCGCACCGGCAAAGCTCATTTTAGCTGAGTCTGTCACGTCTTCAACGAAGAAATTAAAGTTGCTGAGAGTGCGACTGAGTGTTGTGTGTAGGTAGACTTCGATACGACATTTTACTGTATGCATCCGCGGGTGAGAATTGCGAAATACATGGTCTCTCCTCATAACGAAGCCACCCTCGCGTCCTTCTAATAACTTGCTAGTTTTGAGAGATCCTCAGTTTCTGGTAGGATGCTATTGCACTTGAAAACGCAAGTTGGAGATCCATCGGCGAGTATGAGTACAGCAGAGTACTATTTATCGAGATAGGTTGTTATGGTAGCCGAGTTTGAGATGACGTGGCGCCGGTGAAGTAGTCTTGGATGGATAGTCTTGCGCTTCGGACTGGCGGTGATGGCTGCGGAACCAAACGTTTTTTGTGATTGCTTGATAGGGTAGGATTTCGAGTATCACCTTCGAAGCCAGCCAACGATGGAATATATGTCCCTCGTCCACTGGTTAGACATGCTGCCAGACTGCACGGCATGGCGCCTCCCAAGCTGAGCTTTATTGGGATAATGGCCTTGAAGACAACTGGCATTGGTATCCATATCGACCTCGAAGAAAAGAGTGATATCAGGCAGTGAATACATGTCAAGGATGTCGACCAAGTGTCGGCCAGTCAGATAATGCTAAACCCCACTTTTATGGCTATACTACATTCGTCATCAGCTGCAGAGGTCATATTTTCCTCTGACTGGTGATGAATACACGACAGCAACGAAGATTGAAAGAGAAAGGTGATTAAGTAAGCGGAGTAACATTCGCCCCGCAAAGTGGGGTAGAACGCTGACCCGCAGTACGTTTGTCACAAACGAGATTGCCACAGAGAGGATCGACGGAGAATTCTCTCCCCATCAACTTCCTCGTGGCATCGGAGGAAAGCTCGGCTTAATACCAGCCTGTTACAATAACCTTTACGTTCAGTCCTTCCGCGCCTTCCTTTCTATGCTCGTCGATTGTTACAAAACACACCAGGTAAACCTCGCAAAAAGGTACAGTATTTCTGAATGTACATCGGTGCGATTGTGACATGGAAACTAGGGCCGTGCGCTGATAAAATATGACGACAGTCGTAGTCCGAACATGGGGTCATCGGACATCGTAGATGCTAGCGTAGTAAAGAAGCCGATGTTCCGTGATTTGGATAACAGTAGCCCATGCTGTTTCGCTCAGTTGCTCACGATGGGACCGTACGAGTTCGGTTCGGCGGGGAGCAGAACTGTTGGACATTGGCTAGCAGCAGTTGTGAGATTTAGAAGCAAAGAAAAGACGACAATTAACGCACAGTTCTGCAAGTCTTTCTCACCAGCATCCTTGTCTCCCTACCTTTTTCTTCCGCCTAGCAGTCATCGACACCGGCTTTTTTTGAGGCTCAAAGTCGCCTATACCAGCGACCAACCAGCCTGTCGGTGATCTGTGTCAACGGTAACTTCTGGGCTATGTCGTTTTCGACACGATGTACTGTGTATAGCATTGGAAATCAGTTTCCGTCATGTAGGAGAAGGATGGCTTGCTTACCCGAACACGAAGGGAACGTGTTGCAATGCTCTGACTGCGGCATCTTTAATGTACATCTGCCTCTGCCGCGAGACTACAGAGAACATGTAGAATCCTCCACGGCGCCCTTGCAACATGTGTCGATGTTGGATGTGATGGACAATGGACATGCCACTTGAAATCCGAAACACGTGACAAAGAATGCATATCCGGTGGGGCCGGTCCGAGTGCCACATTCTCCCGAACTTCAGCCTGCCCTTCAAGTTGTTGGTCTCCGTCTAGCGTTGCTCAATTGGAAGCGCTATCGAGTCTCATTAATATTAGCAGACGCTCGAAGTTACTCGCTCAGTGAAACGTTTGCTGTACTTTGTCTCTACTCAGTTTGTGCTGTTGTCAGTAAACGGCAAATTTCTCATATCCAAGTCACACGCCTCAGTATGTATTCTATTGATGCCTTAATATTAGGCTGTTCAAGCTTTCCGGTTTCCAGCTCCTAGGGCTACAGATTCCTTATCTCGACACATGTCCCGTCCCATCTACTTCACCGCCATCTGACTTATCGTGCCAAGTCTTACAGCTGTTTGCATACAGCTTGACAGTGGCATGTGTTTTGCGTGAGAGAAGAGAGTAATTTGGACTTGGTCATAAACCATGGTTTATGGCTATTTTGGCGATCTCGGAGGCCCTTTTAGCCCCCCAAGACACGGTTCATGACGAGGTCCGAGCCTTCTCCTATCATCCACGAAAACGCCCCCGACTGTCAAGCTGTATGCAAACAGCTGTAATGTTACCCCTTCCTTGCGTCTTCCTTGGCACATTGTCCCCGCATATCCAACTCTCGACCGACGATCAATCAATCACCGAATAGGACCGCAAGCTGACCGGACCGATACAGACAGGTTGTTTATAAGAGTAGGGATCCCTCGTAAATTGCAAGCAATCATATCTTTCTAAGAGTCATAGACTACTAAGACTAGCACTTTTAGTTCAAGTTCTATATCCTGTCCATGACGTCCCTTCAAATTGAACCCTAGATCATAGGCGCAATAAGGTTGGAAAGAGGACTCAGTACGGACCCCGGCCCGTGCCCGTTTCTGTTGAGGAACACCGTCGGTAATAAAACAACTTCCTTCAATGAGTCGTAAAATTAGGTCCTGCTGGCATGAGTCTGTAAAGGCCCAGACTTCCCACCTTCGGTAGCTCAAAGGTTTACTGAAGATTTGTACTAAAACATACTGAACCTATGTCGTCTCCTTTAGTTGATCCTTCTCAGGCTATGCGACGTATTATCAAATTAACCTGTATTTTCAAACTCCTAGAAACGGGTGTACTGTTGTGATTTTCGACTTTCTGGGACTGTCTAAGGGCACTACCTCTTTTTTCATTCAGCCACAGATATGCAAAGATACTCTTCTCGCTATACTGCCGTGCTCTGCTCCTCGGTCGTGACTGGAAAATATGAATTCATGCGACTCAACCACACGTGCCATACATTCCCAAGGTCACCCTCTAAAGTGATCAGCTGATTGCCTCAAGGCTTGTAGTTACAACTTGCCATTTCGTTTCCTGTTCTCTGAACAGGCCCCTGGCCATGATACCAGTGCTCTGGTTCGAGATTCCCGCTTGTCCTCTTCAAGAATCAGCTCCTCTTTGGGAGAAGATGTTGTTATCCATGATTTTCTATGAGTCAGAATGAGAAAAACGTTCAAATAAAAAATCGCCGTTGATATGTTCTTCTGATTCAACAGCCTTCAGACAACTCGGGACTTGGTATGCTCCTAGCTCTTCTGCCAACACTGTATGTGGTCTCGACATTTGTCTTGGCTTATAAAAAGGGCACCATCTATGACAGTCACTATCTTCTCAGTGGTCTCTCGACCTTGCACTCCAACATTATCTTCATTTCATCCACTAATTCATCATGTGCCGTCGTCGCCAGTAAGCCACTATGCGCTGTGGTATACGCTACGCTCCTTAACCCTGTACAGTGTTAGAAATGTCTACCTCAGCTGCGGACATACTATCAACCTTGTATGGCCTTTACATCTTGATGTCTTAAAATTTACTAATCATTGTAAGCTTAGCCTGAAGAAATTGTACGACAAATGCTATGCAGTGTTATTTGTCTGTTTTCATGTTTTGACGCCTTTCCTAGATCCGGTGTGAGGAGAAAAACTGCAAATTCAGTCTCTTCCATCCTGCACGCTGCAAGCCGCCGGCTTGCTTGCAGACCTGTTGGCAATAGTATGTCTGTATTGACTCGCCATAAAATCCTTCCTCTTAGCCCTTGCTTTACAGCCTTCGCTATCCCGAGCAGTATTGTACGATACCTCTTGCGACCTTCCTGTTCTTTCCTACTAACATTCACGACAGCACCCAACATCAATGGGTATTGTCCTTCTTGCAACCAGGTGACACGAAACCGAGGAAACCACTACTAAATACGAATTACATGGTGTATGTACCACGTTTTTTTGTGAGAAATGTTGGTAGTCACACTAATATTTTGGATCCTATGACAACTAGCTTTACTTGAAGTCAATGGTACTAGTTCTTTCAATGCCCAATTCTAGCCTAGTCTCTGTAAATCAGAAACCTTGCTCTACCCAATGTCATACTGCATTGATAGCACCCACCATAGGTTGCGCAAAATCATTATGAATTTGTTTTTCGCTCGATGCTCCATGGTGTTGTAGGGGATGCTTAGTACCGGAGATTTGGATGATCCGTCCCGAGTGGGACATGATCCCTGATCTGTGGCATCACCTGAGTTGATTCGTTGTCGGCACAGATAATGCGGCGTTGAGGAACTCGCGTAATAAGTGTGGCTGTGCAGGTGATGGACGATCGACATTGAATCTTGATTAGAAAATTGAAATTGATGACTAGCCGCCGGTAAATTCTAGTATGTAGGTCTTGAGCACGATGTGTACTGTCATGTCTAACTATGACTAAGAATTAAGGGATGACTAGGAATTCAAATTTTGACTCTCGCATTTACCTTGATGTTTGTCAGTTGCAAGCACGGAAGGCCTCGGCCGAATTCCAGTGGCTCAATATGTTGTTATAGCGTCTAGTCTCTGTTAATCTGCATCACAAGAGCCTCCTCAGTTGTAGGAGACTTCTTGTTGATTGGTCACAGCTTGAAGAAGTTAGTCCGAAGACGATCCGTCAATTCCTGTGTTCCTTCAAATTCTTGGCAGCAATACAACAGCGCCGGTACGTCATCCATCATTGTTGAAATGTTCTAGATGCTATTGAACTCGGTATCAACCTACAGAACAAATTTTGATGCCTACTGTAGGCCAAGCCAATTTTGGACAAAGCCCCATATGTGAGCGTGAATTATCGAAGCGCCGATAGAATAGTGCTGTGTTGTGCTGGCCTCATCTCTGGGACCTGGCTAAGCATCTGTATGAAGAACATCAGCCGGAAGTTTTCCAGTCCCTATTGAAATCAAGACCGAGGAAGCTGATCGTAAACCATCACAACTTAATTCACGATCCTCTGAGGAAGTTGGTCAATTTTGCGGCATGCAAGGCCGCCCGCTCTCTTCCAATTATGGTCTCACATCCTTCTGTCTCGGAAAGATGCCGGAGCCAATGTTGATCAGTACTAGATTACTAATACTCGCTATGGAGAATTCGTGTAAGCGCACCATCAGTAGAAGGGAGACAGGCTGGGAGAAAGATGTAAGAGACGCGGTCTTTTCCTTACAGCTGATGCCTACCCCGAGGATCAAAAGAATGCAATGAACCGTGCCGTTCGACCGTGACTGCATTTTGAGATCCGTAGATAATGACGACAATGGGATAAGCAACACACCCTTCCATTTCTCGCTGGATAGAATCCGAGTTATCCTTGGCAAGAGTCACTACCCTGTTTCAAGTTGGCATGTTAACAACCACCCAGTATGATATCTATGCAGTTCAAGTGCTTGTTCGGTGAGGCTGAAATTCCGAGCCTTACTATTCTGCTATGAAGCTGGTTTTCGGGGGTAAGGAACAAGCAAGTATCCTGAGCAAACCCGAATACAAGACAGGCCAAGGTTTCGCTGGGTTGGGGGCTTTTTACGGGGAATGGGGCGTGTCGTAGGGTATAAGACTGAGGCTACCCTTCCTCGATAACGAGAGGCGACGGTCATATCTGTTTTGAGGAATAAGTCTAATCCTCGAGATTCTCTTCTTTGAACTTACAGACGTCGGTATGGCGAGCAGATGATGGACTACTGAGAAGGATGACGCTGTGGTGCCTCGTTCGTAGCCCCCTGTATTAACCATGAGATTCATCGCATGCGAGGATAAAATGAAGACGTACCCATTCTCACCAGATGTATACTCTTCCTAACATGCCGATACACTTCAAAGGACCCGTTCATGTTCCCAAGGCTCTTTTATTTGTGGTTTGTCATCCTCGGAGTCTTGATCCTAGCCAGCTCTGTCTAGTGCCACACAGACATTCGCCTTCAGTGGCTACTAGCCCGGGAGAAGGCAAATTGGGGTCATCATCCCCGGTCGGTATGAGCAAGGACAATGGTCCACATCCAACCAAGAAGAGTGATGCGAGCTATCCTAAAGCTGGTGCACTGCGTTTTGGACCAAAATGTATAGGAAGGTGCAGCAACAGAACACTGGTCACATCCCTGCACGAGTCGGGGGAAACTGCTGGAATTGTAGGCATAGATAGGAATGGCGTCCCGGCTCTTAGCCAAATTTCCTCTGTAATAGCTATGAGAACCGTCACTGGTGAGGATGAAGCGGAGACGTACCAGTTCCTACTAAAGGTGTGTTCTTCCTGCCACACGATACACTTCAACGTACTTCCTCATCTTTCTAGGGCTCTCTTTCATCTTTCCCCACAGCTTATCACCATTCAGCTTCGATACCAGTCAGCTTAGCCCCCAACGATCACACCGCCGTCGCATCGTTCGACTGCAACGAGCACAAGGCATGTAGAAAAGTGAAGCGGCGGTAGACTGATCGCATCTCTGCTGGAACCGGGGAAATTGCTGCAAGCTCCTTGTGTCGTAGTCTATGCTGCAGGTGAGGGTCGATATAACTGGTGAAGCACATGTTGTCTGTCGTTTTCTCTGCGATTCTCTCTTTATCTCCTCTGATTAGCGACACCGACAGGCGTTGGAAGCAAGTTGAAAGTTATGAAGCAGGTGTTGCCGAATTGGATCAACGCGGATAAGTTTGAGCTGTATGCAAGGAAAGGATGTAGACGGGCATACGATCCGAGTGGCTCTTGGATGGTTTCAACTCTTCAGCCCAATCGGCGGGTCAAGCAACACACTTGTAGCCACTGCAGATAGGTATAAGCAGGCTGTCCCTCGTCGACAGCAAACCCGCGAAGAAGGATGGCTGGAGGGGGTCGAAACGTCGACCGCCGCACTGAAGAGGACTAGCGCGGGTCTAAAAGAGGGGTATGTTTATCGAGATAGGGCCCTGAGACGGTGGCGCGCGCAGAGTCGCCTTGGATGACGGATATGTGGAAAGGTGACTGTGCTTCACGCTCGTTGTGTCGGGGCTAATCCTTTTGGCAAGGGCTTTAACGTTGGATGTAGACAGTTTAGCATGGTAAGTTGCGAAAATGTATGCTGTAAGGTCTTACATCGATTGGTTAGTTCAAGGAGTGCCAGTGACGGAATATGCACGTACCTCGTCCACTAGGTAAACGTGTGCTGCTAGCGGTCTTCAGGATGGTATCGCCCTTTCTTGAGATAACGACCTTGAACTTGAACTTGATACAGATGTAGCAGCCTGGTACGGGTATCCACTCGCATGCTGAATCACATGGAGAAAGGTGTAAGACAAGGAATGCAAAATGGATGTCAAGACCCAGTCGCACAGTAAAATATAGAAACGGGAGAATTGACATGCAGTGCTCATAGCTGATGCCGTTGCACCTAGAAGTGAGTCTTGATATTCGTCGTTCGCGGGAGAAGGAATAAATACGTATCGTTCCTTTTCTTTCCAACACTGAAGCACTGCATGTATGCGCCATCACTATGCCGTGAAAACAGCTATGCTACGCCTACGGACCCGAGCTTCCGAGCTTCCGATTTTGCAGAATGTATGGCCATCGAACAGCAAAGAAAAGACAAGACAAGATTGCCTGACGGATCGAAGATCAAGGTCAAGTGCTCAGGGAAAGAAAACCGGGGTAACGGCTGTTCTTGTCGTCGTTTTTGCATGTGTCTTGGGCTCCTTGCATGTATGCGTCATTAGTAGCTTGGTGAGGATTGTGACCTCTACCTTTCTTCTGTAAAGATGGCTCGGTTTCAAGCACAAGGAAGTAGCAAATATCCTGCGCAAATGCAAACACAATTGCCGCAGACGTCAGCCGCAAGTTCAAATTCAAATTCAAATTGGCGGATAAGAATCAATATCGGGCCGAGTACCGAGCTTCCTCGTTACTACTACTTACACTGCACTAAAATATTTGTATTTTTACCCACACGTACATGGAGGGCCTGGATGTTGGAGAGAGTGGTAATGGGTGCGTAACCACTTTTCTCTCGAGGACGACCAATCTCACAATCAAGACCAGATGTACCGGTGTCGTTTTCTCGCTGCTTCATTGCCGTCAGTCAGAGGAAATGAAGGCCATCGAAAAACAAGGACGAAAAGACACCTGACCAGCCGATGGAGACATGTTCCGTTTCCACAGTGTACTATGACTTATCTATGGTATTTCGCCAACGCCTTTCTCGTCGTGATTCGATATGGACACCAGTTGCCAATTACGGATGCCAAGACTCTCCTGGGCATGACGGCAAAATTCAGGACGTGATGGCAATATAATTTCTGAGGACAAGGGGGAAGGATGAGTGCTTTGAAAGAAGCACTTTTGCTATGAAGAACCCACGTTCAGTGGGAACGGGTGCGTTACCAATTCATCGTCGCGGGCGGCGAATCTCATGGGCAGTGTAGCACAAATCGGCTGCGAGTAGGGCCTCCTCGATATATCGGCGTCTACCAGTCCGAAGAAAAAGAAATGAACTAACTCAAGCCTTACCGTCGACGTCACGGTATCTTGCCATCTTGTCAGCGGCTACAAGTGTACCGATGGATCCTCGAGAGTTCCACTCTTTCGGCCACATCCCTACTAACCAAGAACCACCTGGCTCACTTCGCTCGCCAATTTTATAATCGTCTTCGACGTCCACATGTACAGCTCACCCTCCCCACGTGAATTCAAACGACACCTATCCCATAAGCTTAGGCTTGCCTCGCTACACTGCTGCCTCGTCCACCAATGCTTTCCGCCTACCTCACTCTGCGTCGCCTTCCTCGAGGTCAGCTTTCTGCCTATCATTGGAATTGGTGCAAGGAAGTCATGCCTTTCCATCCTAATGACACTCAGCGACCCGCCTTGAGTTTATCTAATTACGATCCGGAGAAAGGCAACCATACGTCGTTGTAAAGTTGCATATTGCAACTATGGCATTTGCCCATTCGGTGCAGATCTGTGAAATAGATGCGAGTATTTTTCTTTTGTTTCTCGCACGCCATCTAAGTCTGATAAATTAGTATGAAAACAACAGCTATGAGCAAATGGTAAATGGACGACTGCCATTATTAGGACCTAGTTTCGTCGCTCAGCTGCTATCCCTTGGAGGACGAGCATAAAGCAGATAGATGTGAGCAGGAAGTGCCGTGTTCCGGGCCCAGCGCATGGAACTACCCGTCTTGACCATTGAGTACTAAGGGACAAGACACGCTCAGCGACGACATACAAATCTGCGAAGTAATTCCGTGCGGAGAGCAGATCATACGTCTTGCGAGAACACGTAGCACCTGGCCCAAAGCCGAAGAAGATGAACAAGTGATTCGAAGGAAGCGAGCAACTTCGTCATGGGTTGGTGCATCACTGTTCTACATAGTCCCAGATAATCAGGACCACCCCAGCAGTCCATGTCACAGCTCATGAGATCTGCCTCTCGACAAGATCTCGATCAGGTCATATACACATTTCGCACTGTGAACACTTAGCTCCTTACTCCTAGGCCGCACCGACCAATGGAAGGCTAGGTGACGAGCTCTGTCCGAGTAACCCGTGAGATAAAATGATCTGTTGTCGCTAGCGTCTCGACGGCGAAATCTTCCTGGCGATGTCATGTTTTCAATTTGCAGAGGAGAGAACCACTGAACATCCCTGGTTTTTTTTCAAGAAGCTTTCATCTAAGGTGAGTTTTACGTAGACGTCTGGCTCGTTGCCTGTCTGATTTTGTTGCAAGATAAAACTTCCGTCAATTTATTAGTGATATCGACCTTTTTGACGAATAAGTCTAGCCGATAGGACCGGTCAATCGAACAAGCTTCATACAAGTTGGATACCCTTTCGTGAAACTGCTTCGGCTGGCTTACCGGTCCACCATACTCGCCATTCTTGCATATCCGACTCTTCCTGATTGGGGATTAAAATTATCACACTTCTTCCAAGCAGCGCTCATTACGTATCAGGTCCAGTGCGCCAACTTTCAGGGTCATCAATGGGAGTTCCCGATCATTGATGAATTGCGGTCACGTCGGCGTCGAACCGACGCAACATTGCCATTCTGCATCGTCCCTATCATCATCCCAGACTCGGACGTATCTAGCTGCGACCGTGTATCTCAACGAAACCTGCCCTTCTTCTGGATGCATGCAAGCACTCTCCTTGGACATTCTCCCCCGCAGGCATAGTGCTCACATTGCATGTGAAGGAGGTGGTTAGAGGGGGCGTTGATTCCACAAAAGTGAACTTTCTTAAGCATGCCCTTCCAGGAAGTTTGCGGTCGCGAGGAGCGAACCGTTATCCATGGACTCGGTGCTAGGTAACTTTATCTTTTCTTGTCGTTCACCATGTGACTGATAGAACGATTTCGTCACTTCAAAGAGCGCGGGAAAGACGATGTTTAGAACATCGACACCCTCATATTCATCGAATAGTGGTAATGATCTAACTCTGTCTTTGATCCATGTGGTCTTTCATGAACCACAATGTCCTTGCCTAAGTTTGCGATGCGTCTCCCATGTGCTGAAGGCTTTGCATTACATTCAGTGATTGGTTCACGTTTGCTTAACGGCAGCTTGTGGTGACTGCCGTCGCTGTTCAAGGAGGTACGCTATTTGACGTCTTCAAGCTGCAGATGAGACCAACAATGTATGTAGTCGATGGTCAGCGCAAAGCAGGAGAATATTGGAAAGAGGGTTCGGAGACAAACCTGCTTGGGATGGAGACTGCGCAGATCCTGCAATCAGGTCCTGACAACAATATAGACGACATAACAAGCACATGGTACTGCGGTACTTCCTGTTCTGTTATAGCTAGCTAACTGTCATTTCAGGCTCAGCACAGTCACACATTCTTTTGCCTTGAACAAATACCTGAGGTCGGGTTCCTGGGCGCTGTGATGAACTCTAAATAGTCACGGATGAAATTTTCAACGATTTAGAGCACAATGATGATAAACTTTCTTGGAGATGCGTCTCTGTCAAGTTGATTTATTACCTGTACAGGACAAAACAATATGACGATACTTTGATCACCTTTCCGATCCGGGTCTGTAATACTTATAACGGAAAATATTTGATTTTTTGGAGAAGTTAGCCGGGTTTTAAAATTTCATGCGTGACGAAAGAATTATTCAAGTTGATCAATTACTCTCGGGCACTGAACTGATTGGCTTGGCAATTGACGCCGATCAGGGACGAGATCACCAAGTACTTCAGTTGTGTTAAATTTAGTACATTGACATCGTGATACCAGTTTTGTTACTTCATGACAAGATGTAGTACCAGTGCCTACATAAACTACATAAACAGCCAATATTGTCAAATAAATAGGGTCGGAATAAATCCATGTAAATTCCATGACAACTTAACAACTGGTGTAGTACCTTAGCCTACTTGCATTTTCTAGTATCACATCGCCTGGAGGCATGAGGGGCAGTATTCATTGATGTTGGGAGCTATTAAAGATATTAACATAAAAATCAATTTCCAAGCATTGCTGTACAGTACTGCTCAGGGTAGCGAAGGCTAAAAGCATTGTTAATCGAAGTGGGATGGATGAGGAGAGACAGTAGATGCATACTATTGCCAGCAGGTCTGCAGATGTTATGGATCTGCCAAAATCCAGAGATGTGAGCACGAGGCGAGGAGTGATGATCGAAGCAAGGTAGGATTAATTAGGAATGATGTATGTCATTAGGGAATATAATGGATTCCGGCTCGGGTTCATGAGGAGACCTGAGTGGTCCGGTTTGCGAAATAAAGGAAATCAGTAAGCACGAAGCAATTACTGAGGGAAGTAGCCGGTAGGCGTGGAGCAATTACTGATATAGAAAGCCCATAAGCACGAAGCTATTACGGGCCGTGGGTGAAGGCAAGCGCTAAGCGTAACCTTTGGGTTGGTGTCAGAAAGCGCTAGGCGTATCCATCGAGTTGTTCAGCAAGCGCTAGGCGTAGCTGAGGGTTCACGCAGTGAAGGTGTCCTGAAAGTAGTAGATTAGTAAAAGCTTTCTAATACAATGTTACCTACGAGTTTATATACTAAGGAAAGGTTTGAGTCATTATTATTCTATAATGTTCCATAATATTCTAGTATCAATACGAAGAATAGAGAAAGTAACAGAAAGTACGAGCGAGTCAGTTTTAAGACCGAGAAGGCCGAGTATAGACATGTGTTGACTCATGCACCGAATCAACGGATACCCAATATCCAGAACAGCAGACAAGCAGGTGGTTTGTGGTTCGCAGGATGGAAGAGACTAAACTTGCAGTTGGATTGCTCACACCGGATCTAGAAAAGGAGCTCAATACCAGGATTAGGTAAATTATCAGTCGTACAATTTCTTCAGGCTGATATTGCGGTCAGTAAATGTGAAGAAGTCGAACAATGAAAGGCGTACAAGGTTGATAGCATGGCCACATTGGAGGTAGATATTCCAGACACTATATAATGATCAGAGTAGATCATCCAGTGGTAAGAATTTCCTCACTGGCGACAGCGACACATTGTGCACAGGTGGATGGATTGAAGATAAGACTATAATGCGAGGTTGAGAGATAGCTAAGAAGATGGGGGATGCTATAGATGATGCCCTTTTTATAAACCAACACTAGCCAGCTTTTGAAATCTAGGTATATTTGAGTGAGACTTATGGCAAATACACCGTATCAGAAAGCAGGGAGTGTGTAAAGCCCATAACAACTCACTGTAGAGTAGTAATACAATAGCCTACTCAGCGTAAATTGTTATTGGTAGCTACTGGGTAGATCAAGATAGCGGCACAATTGAAACTATCGAAAAGTTACTCCACCGTGATGCGGGTCTTGAAGTGAGCCGACGAATCATAATTCTGCTTGTTCAGGTCAGCAGGGACAATCAGATATACTGATTTTGAGGTGGCTGAATAAATACTGGCGCAATGACATCAAATAAGCGTGCTCAGTCTGTGAAAGATGATTCACATATGCAGCCATTCTTGCTGATATTAGTAAAAACAAGAGTGAAGGAACCAAGAACAAACTTGGCAAGCCACGTACACAGCAGAACATGAATGAATCGGCGAAAAGGCAGAGACCTCATCGGTCCAAAAACAGATAAAGTGCGAAAGATAGGACCATCAGAATGGATTTTCATCCAAACTACGGGCCAGATATGCCTTGAGCTGGAAAAATAATGATCAAGCGGCGTCCGTCGGGACTGGAACTGGGGCACCTTTTTTAATTTGTACTAGTGCAGCTCCGCTTGAACGTCGCTTGTCCCTTTGGTCATATATGCATGATCCTCATCTCAAGATTAGTAGGTATCCTTACCAAAGCTTTAATTCACGGTTGCTTAGGTAGCAGTGGAGAGACGGGTGTAATGATTATCAAGAGCTGCTAGATTAGGCTCAATAAGCAACCCCTGTTGTTCGTGTTTACAGGATCTTTTCAGCTACCCAGGATCTCCTAAGATTCAATAGGCACCTGTTCGTTTCCATGTATAATAGCTCTCCTTAACAACAAGTAAGTGCCAAAGGGCAGAATGATCAAGCAATCTTGAAAACTTCTTGCAAGTTCTGAGCCATTCAAACTCGACAGTGTCTCAAGAAAGAATATCACCAGGACCGGCTGGTGCTGGTGCTGTGGTGTTACCTGCACTAGATCCCAGTAAAGAACAGCCGGATCCACAGCCCTGACATGGCAAGCCATGCGCTGTTAGGCCGATGGTTTTTTTTCGCGTCCCTCGTAAGATCCGATCTGACCGATCACACAGGAATAAAAATATCGCAGTAAAAGTTTTTGCGCACCTAGGTTGGAGATAAGAGGCATCTAGGCTTGTCTGAAAGCTACCTTAATGGTCAGACACGATGTTATACATGAGAAAATAAGGTTCGTTTGTCCAGAATTCAGAAACAATCAAATAATACAAAGAAAGTCGGAGGCGTGATACAATTACTGTAGCCATGAACAAATCATTTCGTCCTACAGGGGGACCCAGATATTTGGGTCTCTGATTTCGTCTCACTTCTGATAGACCCGTTACAGCAGGTTAAGTGTTGTTCTCGCCACGAAATATGTAGCCTGAGCAACTGCTTCCCTGATTTATATGTCATGGTTCGCCGTTCAGTAGCTGACACCAGCAATGATATACCTAGAGTCCATGATATAGCATCTCCTCTTGATCTCCTCATCGTATAAATTGCGCTCTTCGCGCTCTCTAACAGATGATAGCGGACGAGCAAAGACAAGACTAGATTCCGATGGCAGTGATAATTTGCAGACTCAATCATAGTTTCCGTTTGTATGCCGACTCATGAGACTTGGATAGTGAGTGGCATAACACGGGAAAATACGTGCCTTGTAAGAGGTAGAGGTATCACTGCTGAAGCCAGTACATTTTCTCTGCAGAAAAACAAGACCTCAAAATGTTGTGACATTTCATTTGAACTTCTAATAGTAAAAATGAGTTCACAAAAATGAGTTGAAAGATGAGATAATTTCCGTACTCTTTTAAGTGAAGGAAAGAACAGGAGAAACAGAATGAAAAGACGTCTCCTGCGGTCAGAACAAAGGAAACCGCCTTTCATTCGGAGAAAAGAAGTTGTTTTCCGATACGTGAAAGGAGCACCAAATAGGACAAATTTTTCATTTCGTTTTCCGTATCCCATTTTTGTGGCATACAAAGGAAACGGAAAGTCACGACATTTTTAGAATACCTTTTTCCGTCCTGAAAAAGAACCGACCCCAGCGGTGTATGACATGTGTTTGTGCGAGTCCGTGCCAAACGGGTGAATGAACAACCTTCTGAGAATGTTTGGCTCCTTGACACCTTGAGATTGTATACATGGGCCCTGACGGGCCCCAGGTACTTTAAACAAGACGCATTCATTCATTTTTTTGACACCTTCGAGTTGACAGGCTAAGAGCCGACCTAGCACTAAGCCTACTGCATCCTGAGAAGACGATGTGGGGCGAGGGCATTCGAAACGGGCTATGAAGGAGATGCTGTCCAATTGGACTAACGCGGACAAGGTTGAGCTGAACACAAGGAAATGATGTAGATAGGCATACGAGACGAATGGTCTTTGGAGACCGGTAACAATTGGCGGTCCAACAGCACACTTGTAGGCACTGGCATGATGGTTCACAGATAGGTACAAACAGGCTGCTCTTCCTCGACTGCAAGCCCAGGAAGAAGGGCGGCTTAAGGGAATCAGAAGCGTCGACTACCATGCTGAAGAGGGAGAGTTGGTGGGAAGAGGACAAACCCAAAGGAGGGGCATTGCGTTTTATCGAGGAAAATTGTTGCATAGTTCTGGCATTGTAGGCTACACTGCAGGGGAGGGTCGACATAACTAGTGTCGAAGATGTGCCAGCCGCATCTGGCAATCCAGCAATCGGACTATAGTTGAAGCCACGCGAGAATCTTCGCGTCTCTTCTCCTCGAGTCGTTCGTTCCTCTGCTCACTCAGCAATGAGTCAGACATGGACACTGGTAGGTAGTAGTATGTTCTGGAAGTACTTACCTTGTAGTATATATACCGGGGATCTCAGTCCCCAATACACATTGCTTAACAACTTCCTAACACAATCTCTCCCAAACGGTTGAGGAGTCTCTCAGTTTACCACTGCGCTTACCACCTTCATTACACTCTATTTTACAACAACTAGTGAGGCACATATTGTTGGGAACGTGTATGATATCCGTAGCTACACCCGCGACTATCACTACCGATTCCTCATTCTCTCTATCGAACCTAGCGATACGGTTCCATTGTCCGTCATTTTATCTGCGATTCTCTCTTCATCTCCTCTGACTAGTGGTACTGAGGCAGGAGCGGATGCGCTTTTGGTACATCCTGGAGGCCAGTTCTAAATGAGATGCGCAGCCTGCGAGAAAAACTCCATTGCGCACCCTATTTTTCTAGCATCGCACCATTACGAGACCGGCGCGCTACAGCTTCGAACGCAGTTCCATCGTGGCGATGAGTATCTTCGACGAAGTCTTTTGTGTATGCTTTGGTGGCGATATAGTGTCTGATTGATTCAAGAGAATCGTCACTCTGCAGAAGGAACGGTCCTGGATAACGCCCCTGATTCGTCGACCTCCCAAATGCCCATCGACCAGCATGTTGAAAAGGACAAGGTAAAACGAGATCAAACTGCTGATTGCTGGAAGCCTAAAGACAAGTCGGACCTGTTGCCTGCAGGAAGAAGGACGACTGGACGGGATCAGAGGTGCCTACTACCACGCTGAAGAGGATGGGTAAGGGACCCAAAAAGAAGGCATGTTTATTGAGATAGTCCGTGAGACGATAGCCCCGGTAGACGTCTTGGATGACGGTCCGGTCCGGTAACAGAATCTGTAGCATCGACTAATTATTCGAGAAGACCGGAAACAGAATATGCCCGTACCTCGTTCGTGAGGTAAACGCGCTACCGATTTGTAACACGAATGATGGTGTTGCCCAACAGAACTTTCTCGAGATAATGGTCTCCATTTTGTGTTGACTGGTATGTTTACTCGGTTATTCGAATCACATTGACAAAGACGTGGTACGAGGAGGCAAAATGCATGCCAAGACCGGGTTGCGTAGATTGTAGAAGCGGAAGAGCTGACTGTAAGCAACAAGAAGTGTGCTCTTAGGTACCATCGTACCTAGAAACAAGTCTCGATATTTGTCATCTGCTAGAGAAGAAATGGTTACGCACCCGTTTCACTCCTTCCAACATTGAACTCTTGCACGTATGGGCCACAACGCGATGAAATTGGTCACACTATCCCTACAGACCATCGAACGACCCCAGAGGGTGACAATTGGTAGTATCGTCGACAACGTCCTTCAAGTATTATCAAGTATTCATCCTAAGTGCAGTGTCTACGTCGTCCATGAGATTCATCCTGGAGAAAGAAAAGCAACGCACCGAACTTGCCACACAGGCTTCTGGGCACCCGATTTTGCAGAAGAATGTATGACGATCCAACAGCAAAGAAAAGGCAAGGCAAGATTCCATCGAAGATCGAGGTGCTCAGGGAAAGAAAACCGGGGTGACGGCGGTTCTTTGTCGTCGTTTTTGCACGTGCCTTAGCAGGTCTTGGCAGGGTCCCTGCACGTATGCATCATTAGTAGTTGGGAGAGGCTAAAATTGTGGCCTTTACCTTTCTTCCGTAAAGATGGCTCGGTTTTCGAGCGCAAGGAAACAGCAAATATCCTGCGCAAACGCGAACGCACTGATTACCTTGGAAGGCTAGTCGCAAGCTCAAAAATTCAAATTGGTGGATAGGGAATCAATATCGGGCCGAGGCCCGAGCCTCCTCGCTGTTTGTTCATTCAAACTGATCCTCATGTTTAAATTATCAAAAATGACCCCGGAGCCTAATGGTCCTGGTGACTTTACTTGGTTTTATTGTCAACTGTTCTTTCTCTTGCATCACATAAAGAATTGTGCTCCCTTTTGGCTTTTAAGTTCCATCTTTCATCCAGAGACACCGAATCGCTTTTGCGAAGTCGCCGTTGGCTACTAGGCTTCTCCTTTTGCTCCTGCCAACCTCTGGTATTCTTTGCTTCTGGTAACTCGCCATGTCTTTCTTCTCTTTCTATATATTTTAGTGATCAACCAAAACAGCGACGTAAAGATTTCCAAGTGTAAGCACTAGCAAGCGTTGAAAAGATGCATCGGCACTTAGTCCTAAGCGGGTTGCCATTAAGGACCTCAATTAAGGACCTGAACGGCGTCGGTCTTCATGTGAACGCCTGGGTGGACCAATCAACAACCTTGATTTCCGGCTGTATCCTTCCAACTCCGTCATTCAGAGCTTCAGGCGGCCACGTTGGGGCTTACATCACATAACCGGAAAGGTCCATGAACAGGCAAAGTGCCTCCGAGTCAGTGCACTCAATTGTAGAAACAGTTCGCATTTCAATCTCTCTTGCGGGCCTCTCAAATTTCATGATAGGTTGGTCCGAAATAATACCGAATTGACGTCTTCGTGTCAATCTTTCTTATGAAAGCGTCTTCTAGCTGCTCGAGAAACGGCGTACCATTGTGATTTTTCTATTTCCAGCAGGCGATAACTGTATTCTCACTTCTTCAAGGCGTATTCAAAGCTAGGACATAGCCACCAATTTTTCTAAATAAGGTCAAAGTCCCGGAAGATGTTGCACTTCAATAATTCTCTCCTCCATACGTTGGCATCTCCCATTGAATATGGATCGACCGTGGTCGAAACAGGTACCATTATTCGATGCAGCCCTCTGAGTGTTGATTGATTGATCTTTTTACTTGAATATAAGTGTCACCTCTCTTATTTTTATCTCAATAATCATTTTTCAGTGTGAAGCTGTAATGAGGCACTCCGACTTCTGGTCTCTCTGTGACCAACGAATACGGCAAACTCCCTGCTCCTCTGTTGATACCGCTTATTTCTATGAAAATTGGCATCCATGGGCTCGACTGAATACATCAATAAATCGCTGGTCTTGGTTTATAAAACGAGTATACATTGTTACTTATCCTCCATCTTTCCAGCTATTTTTCAAATCTGTACTACATCCTTATCTTTTTGTCACCTGCCCATACTTCACAATGTGCCGCCGTCGCCAGTGAGCATATCCTCACTGTTGCATCTACTCTGCTCACCAGTCCCGTACAGAGTCAGGAACGTCTACCTTCGATGCGGTCATACCGTCAATCTTGTACGTTCTTTGTATTCCGACGTACCGGCCTCTACTGAGTGTCATTAAATTAGCTCGAAGAAATTGTTCGATAACCAATACCTGTTAAACATTCACCTCTCATTTAGCACCATTTCTAGATCCGATGTGAGCAGACTACCTGCAAGTTCAGTGTGTTCCACCCCGCGAGCTGCAAGCCGCCGGCTTGTCTGCGGACCTGTTGGCAATAGTATGTTTGTGTCGACTCTCGCTACTGTTACTAACCAATGTATTTCAGTCTTCGCTACCCTGAGCAATATTGTACGACGACAGTTCAAATATTTCCGTCCCTTACCACTAACATTCCCGATAGCTCCCAACATCAACTCTTACTGTCCCTCCTGTTACCAGGGAAAGTAATGCCAAGGCTGCCGTTGAACGTAAATTGCAAGTATCAGCTCGGCCGCCTAATTTGTCCGTAACGTCGAGTATACGGTCCTGTTAACGGATTGATAATTAAATAACATCATGATTATGGTCTGCAGGTATGGAACCACTTCTCGTACCTGATCGACGTCAATCCCGGGCTCGATCGTATTTGTGATCGAGGGTATTAGTGGTGTTTACACTTCACTCGTGTCAATAGCTTGCACGACGTCCAGAGTGGCCGAGTTAAGGTCACGATAACACCCAGCGCGATTCTGACATTCAATTGATTTAGGAACAGTCCAGCATGCCAATGTAAGAGTCATACCTACGTTAGGAAGTCCGAGGCGCTGCGATGGTCATAATACAGCTTGCTTGAAGGAGTGCCGACCGTAATTTATCAATATTAAGTCACCCACCAGTCGGCCAACTTCACAGGTTCGAACTGAAGTTCGCTCCGAAACGGTGAATAAACATTTGTGCTAAAGGTCTCATGCGAGCTGGTAACTTCTCCGCAGAATTCATTATCCGTGATGTAATTCCTATGTATGTGATGGTGTAGCCATGACCGACAAACCGTTCAGAAGCACGGGTGGTTCGGGGAAAGGGAGCGAAAAAGTTGATTATTGCGCTAGAGAAGGCGGGTTTGAGAGCTGCCGTTCCGATGGATATAAATCCACACCCCAAAGAGGGGGTACGTTGTATCTATATAGTCCAGGAGACGACGGCACCAGTTTCGGATGACGGATACGGAGAGACGCCATCGCGTTTCACGGCGGCACTGAGAGGGCTTCGGCATAGACAGAGACAGCATCTATAATATCGTTTCGTCAATTCGTGATGCATAGCCGGGGACCAAAAAAATCACGTACCACAGGATGGCATCGCCTGAACAGACCTTATTTGTTGACCTTGATGGTGATACAGACATGGCAGTTTAAAGAAACTAGTGCTGGTATCTGTATACGGCGTGTCGGAAATGTTCACAAACAGTAGCGACATCTCTGAAGGTATTCCATCCCGGCTGAAGTATGGAAGGAGACACCTTGTTGGATGCATGTCGTATTCCTGTATGGCCTTTCCAAGTCACAACACGGTGTAGGTAGATGTCGGCGAAGCAAAGAGAGATATTACTATCCGAAGAATAGACAGATGAGATGAGCTGCTGCCACGAGGTTGAGAAAGGAAACGAAGTTCATCAACGCAGGTATTCTGGTCTATCCAGTTAGCATGCTGTCTCCCCGCCACATTCCCCATTGTCGGGGTCATCAACACGACTTTGTGTTCTATCTAGCCTGTTCGCAGTTCAGAAATTGCTTCGATGAAGAACTTCTGGGATATCTTGTTCTTGATACTACACAGCTGTGCTATGCTGTATATATGTCAATACGTTTCTGCAACACAAGAGAAGAGTAACTCACTTTAGCACAGGGAACAAATCGTGATTCGATGCTCTGACCACTGCAGAATATGCTACAGCTTCTGTGCAAGGGTCCACAGCGATGTTTGTTGGGTGTACTGGTGGAAGAATGAACTTTATTTATTTAATCATGTTTGAATCTCGGAGTAGCTCGGATCGCGGGTGTCCGAGTCCGGTTATCTTCGGTCCGGGTATCCCGAAACCAAACTGGGCACGATCAACGTGACTTCACACTCTTTCTTTCTTTCTTTCTCCGTCGCGGTCCTGGGGAACAGCTCTTCTTCTAGTCCATACATCTTGGGCATGATCTCCGAGGTCTGCATTTTTGAAACTGGCATCTTCCTTGTTTTGCGTATGTCATTACGCACCACAGTTACCCAACAGCTACCCGGTCAAGGATTTCCTCTCTCAGATTTCTGCTATCGGCCCAGCCCACCCGCGAAAGCACGGAAAAGAATGAGACTGTTGCGGTATCTTCGATCTACCCTGAACCCTACAGTATTCGAGGATGAGCACCGCTAAAACCGTAACATTGCTTTTCTGCCGTCTTGGCTGAAATATTCACCAGGTAGAGTTAGGTGCGCGTCAGTTGAATCTCGGTTGCCCTGTGCGATACGAATATGAGAGCAGTATCCGCACAATGCCACGGGAAGTAAGTAGGACTTCTGCGCGCTCCTCAGTCCAGCAATCCCCTCTCAAAGTTGTTGTCTGTCTGGGTGTGTGCTACCACTGCTACTTTTTTCAGCCGCGGGCTTAGCCGTGTGTTCCTTCCCATACTTTACTGCCCAACATCAAGACAGCTAACTTCTCTTTCTATAGATGTCTGGTTAACTAACAAAATAGTGGCAGATATTTTTCTGGACTCCGGGGATCAATTTCGTTGTCGGATGACCAGCCATTTCCGTGCATAGCCCTTATGATGAGACATCTTTGTTCATCCTTCTAAATCTACTTAAGCATCAACTGGGCGGTACCTATTGTTCCTGATACAGAACTTTCCACGACGGACATGAATTCATTACCCAGATCTGCGTCCCGAAACACACAAGAGAGATAGAGCGTTGATTCCGGCCAGACGACTCTGGAGTTTTATTTTGATTTGACTTTTCGGGGAGGCGCAAAACCACAGGTTTTACCACGACACGCTGAACCGAAATCTTTCCCCCTGGTTCTTTTAGGAACACATGGCCAGGTTCTCAGGAAAACGCACGCTGTCACATGGATTATGTTCTCAGCTATTGATGCCGTTCGTATTCCCTGATCTTTGGGCTGTTTTTCAAGCTATCCAGCCAAGAGTCGATGTACTGGACAATATCAAGACAATAATAACACTCACACTGGCCGTCATAGAATGTCATAAAGCGTCATCTTGAATGGTTGGAGTTAAATCTACAGCATTTTGAGTTGTTAAGTGCGGTTTCTTCCTGTGTCGTTTCGGCGGAACGCTTACTGACTCATGGAGTGATGTCTTTGATGGATTCAGGGTCGGAGATGCGCTCCCTGCTCTTCCGCCATTACGGCTTCCTTTGGCCATAATCAAAGACGTGAGCGGTCTCAACTCCCCATAAATTAATATACTATCGTCCTGGGTTTATAAAGAGGATACCGTCTCTTGTGTCCTCCATCTTCTCTCAGCTACTTTCAACCTCGTCCTACAGTTCTATCCCTTTGCTCGATCCACAGCCAGTACGCAATGTGCCGCCGCCGTCAGTGAGTATATTGTCACTTCTACATCTCCCTAGTCTCGACTCATCTCTTCTACGCAGAATTAGGAATGTTTACCTCCGATGCGACCACGCTATCACCCTCGTATGTCCTTTCTACTTCATTGTCCCGACCTTTATTAACTACCGTGATTTTAATTAGCCTGAAGAAATCGTACGACGACTACCAGACGAAATTATTTATCACAATCTTTACATCTAATACCTTTCCTAGATTCGATGCGAGGAGGTTAACTGCAGGTTCAGTCTCTTCCATCCTGCGAGATGCAAGCCACCGCGTTGTCTGCATACCTGTTGGCAATAGTACGTCTCTGTATTGGCTTACCCTAGTCATCTTCGTCTCAACTCAATTTCCCAGCCTTCGCTTTCCGGAGCAGTACTGCACGTCATATATTTCTTAGTTTGTCATGATGCTAACATCTATGATAGCGCCCCACATTAACGGATATTGCCCCTCCTGTGACCAGGCGATGCAATACTGAGGCTAAGACTACTGAACGAAGATTTCTGCCATGTTTACCACTATTCTTACGTAGGGTGGCATTGACAGACTCAGATACTAAACTAGTTCGACTCGAGCCTTGTAGTTATTTTGACCTATAAAGTAGTAGATTTCACGATTTGAATTTTATTCCAATAAAGTGTTTGATGATCCGTGGTCCCGCGCTGTGTACTTGATGACGATTTACACGACCCTGATCGACACCGATCAAGGAGTCGATCAGATCGTATCGCACCCGTCTCAGATGAGGCACGCACTCTACTGGTGGAATGACTCAGTAACGCACTTATCCTACCGACAACTGCCTGAGAGATACCCAGCCCTTGACATGGACCCTTATGATTGAACTAGCTTTCAGGCCCGTAAGCCCGACTAGGTGTAGAGGTCTACCAAGCAATAATTTTTACTGGATGGCAAGGCTTCACAGGACACGGATCTACCCTTACGAAATACCGTGTTTGTTGTATTATGATGTTATTGAGAATAGCACAGGCCATGGCCGTACGTATTGCTGTCGAATGTTATGAACAATGGTTGATTGATATGGTCGACCTAGGTCTTAAGAACAGTATCTATCATAGGTACGATCGCATCATCCTAACAGGACCAAGGATCGAAAACTAGGACAGCTCACTCACTTGTCAGTTCCATCTTCACCTTGGCACACCACAACCTACAACGCGGGGATTAGTGTTACGCGGGGGTCGTGTGGTCCGGGTCCTGTGTACTGATAGCCTGAGGGCCGAGATGCTTGGTCTCGGCAGTGTGAAAACGAACGTCCAGACTCCAGATCTCAAGTCTTCTGTCAGATTTTTGAATCTTCTGGTAAAAAGTATCCATATCCCAACTTGTGATGTACCCTGTCAGATTCGAACTGAGGTCATTTGCCACAAGCGCAAATAAACAACTCTGGATACCATTTAGCCACCAATGGATAGTAATCTAATACAGACGAGACAACAAATCCGATACTTAGCATGATCGAATCGTTACAGATAGAGGTCAGCTTTTCAAAACGTTTGGATCAGTAAAATACCGCGCCTAACCTGAATGGCTAAACGCGTTTCATCTGAGTTCGCGGTTCGATGGAGATACCTAATTTGTTGAGGATGCCATTAAGTATCAGTGTGCGATGTGCGTAGGTAGAATTTGTTACGATCTTTTGTTTCCATGCCTGTCACTAGACTAGGGACTGGATACCGCAGGTAAGGGAGTGGTAGTGATTCGACGTTCCTCGCCTACAAAATCTTTTCATACGGCTTGAAATTCTCCAGGTACCTTCCCCACCTACCGTCATTCCAAGTGACGATATCTTTCCACTCCTCACTCTCCTCCCCGACCATTCTCCTCGTGAACCGCAAAAACGCGCAAATCACCGTGTCCGCGAAGCACGGTTCCTTTCCCATAACAAAGTCACCCTCGAACCACTTGTTCATTTTCCCAAAATTCTCCTTCGCGCTTGCCCGTAGCTTCTCTCGCTCCTCCCCCTTCGGCACCTCCGTGCTGAGAGCTCCGCTTAGCCTCGTTTTTCAAGTAATATAACGCCGTCGCGTCGTTCGTTCTTCTCGTTATTCCCCAGGCGAAGAATGGCCGAAAAGGAGCAAAAATGCCGATTACTGCGTCGGAGAAGGCGAGCTGGAGGGGCATAGTCCCAGGGAGGATGAGTATAGGCCCGAAGGAGGGGTATGTCTTGTCCAGATAGGCGGCTATAGCGACAGAGTCGGAGACGACGGCGCCCGTAGAATCATCTTGGATGATCGGGATGGTGTAGAAGGGGGAGACACCATCGGACTTCGTGCTGGTGGGGGCGGAGCCAATTCTTTTGGCGAGAGCTTCGACGTCGGGTAGCTCGACGTAGACAGTTTGGTAGGGCAGGTTCTTGAGGTTTAGGGCATACCTAACATCGACCGGTTAGTTTCTGAACGCGACTGCGCTGAGAAATACCCTTACCTAGTCCGCTAGGTCATCATAGTTCCCGGGGAATCAGTTTCCTTGGTCGGAAGGTCGTAAAGAGTAATCATGCTGGAACTGTGTAGGAAACATCATTTAGTTTGGATCTTATACATGAAAGTTGTGGGGAGGCTTACTAAATGAATCATCTAAATCGGACGAAAGGCTGTACAGAGTAGTCATGCGAATCTATGACTGTAACGAATGCCATTCAACTTGAGTGTATACATACAATATTTCAGCAGAGGCTTACTAATTAACGGGCATGAATCATCAAGCGGGTTCGGTCTTTGTCATTTCCACGAAGTTACTGCGGAAATATGATCGTGGCCGCTTATTTTTTGATATGGGAGTCCACGCCGCCCAAGACCGCGAAGGATAAAAGCGCGCGCATTTGCTGTTCAGATGATATACATCACGGATTGGCTGACTACTCTCCCGTTCTACTAGGGGAAACGCATGAAGCAAATTCTGAATAAATATACAACCAAACTTACGAGATATTTTGGCTACGATGCGCAGCAGATTAATGATATAGGTAGAGAGACACAGAGGACGGTCCAGTAGAGTCTGCAAGTGGGAACTATATTGGAGTGATGGTGATGACGTAGAAGTAAGTGGCGTGTTGGCATTTGCCGGGACTCGTCTTTTCCTTCCACCATCATGGCGGTTACAGCGGCGCGACCAAGGCAACCTGGCGATGTCAAGATCAAATTTCACGGACACTGCGATGCTATTCTTACCCTTCGGCGCGTCGATACGAGGAGATATCTTTTTGTGAAGGACGTGAAGCACAGTAGGTATGCTATCTTTTTTCTCCCTAGTCTTCAGCGATAACCTCGGTCACCAAGGATTTGGAACGGGATTGAGCATCTTTACAAATACCTAGTCCTTTGCATAACTTGGTATTGGTGTGTTCATACAATTCTAGCTGCATACATGCATTGTCATTTTCAATGTAGAGCCGCTCATTCGGTTTCCGAGCCAACGAAACATCCCTATTGGAGTAGCTATCCAATGAGTCGGACTGAATCCTACAAATGTGGTGGGACCCCCTCTCTCTGCTATATCTCAACCATTGACGCGGACGATTGAAGCCGGTTCCAGCTATTGGTCTAACAAGAACGTTGCAGACCATCGATTCCTGTGGGTCCGTGCCAATATTTCTAGCATATACGTACCCTAACCTTTCCTTTTTTTATAAGGCTGCCATCGTTACTCAATCTACCTATGAATACCCCTGTTGTAACGGAAAGCAGCTGGGCATATTCCGTTCGGGGGGCGCCGAAGGCTTTATGATGACTGAGACAGAGCACTGTGCGTTATGCTTTCACGTCCATGACCCTCAAACCTAATTGTGCAAAAGATCTCTTAAAGGGACACCTCGCTCCACCGCGCTCTCAGCTCCCAATGCTGGTGAATATGGCTCGCTATGGAACCCGTCTGATCTATATAGCGTCGGGTGATCCCAGGCTGTACGTTTTCACGTCATTGTTCTCCATGTTAGCAAGCTTATTGTCGCTACGTAGTTCACCGTTCCCATCCCCATTTAGTTATCACAACTTTATGATCATACGTCATGATGCTAAGTCAGGTTTGAACCGGCCTGAAGAAAAGCGTATCCGGGATTTACCAGACGTCTCCTCGACGATTCTACCTTCGCACTTGTCTACGTGTGGGTGACGCCGTCGAGAGGTCGATGCACTGATATCAAGGCTTGAGGTAAGCACATCCACGCGTCGTCAAGCAAGGCCGTGTTGACTATTTGAGTGTCTTATAAAGGACATCTGCACGAACTCACATCAGATAAAAAATTCTTGGAACGAAACCGATGACGTCCATTGCCTACCTCCGCTGCATTTTGAGAAGACGTTGTCGTCACGTCACATTTCCACGTCAAGATGTCGGTGAGGATAGAGCACTGGCAGGATCGTGCTATGGACCACGACGGACCTGACCGCCCAGGTTTCTGCTGGTCGACGCTGCCGAAGAGCGAGGAGAGTGTGCACATACGAAATGTGTATGGACCTGTGCTGGGATCGGATTGCCGTAATGAATGATGCGACACATATCGAGGTACTAGGGTGAAAATACATATCCCAGCGTTGACATAATTCGCGAGTGGGATCACGCAGAGACGTAGGAGAGAATTAGTGATAGCATAGTTGTTAGGTCCTTGTCGGGCCCGCTGGTGGCTTTGCCGTTACAATTGAATGCAAAACCGGGATGCAAGTTATCCCAAGAGTAGAGTCTTTGAATAAAACCCATTTGCAAGAAGTGAGAGAATAGAGCTATGATATAGAGTTACCACACCGAAAGCGTGGAAGCGACGAGAAGCTAGGGATGTGAAAGGCGAATAAAAAACAGGTCAAGGTTTCGGGAATAAGGCGTGTTGTGGGGTATAAGACAGAGGCTATGCTTCCGCGATAACGAGAGGCGACGGTCATGTCTGTTTTGAGGAATAAGTCTAATCCTTGAGACCCTTTTTTCTTTGAACTTACCGACGTCGGTATAGCAAGCAGACAATGGGCTATTGAGAAGGGTGACATTGAGGTACCTTGTTCGTAGCCACCTGTATTAGCCATGATATTCGTCGCCTGCAAGGATAGAGTGGAGACGTATCCATTTCCACTGTATGTATGCTCTCCCTAATACACCGATACACTCCAAAAGGCCCATTCATGTTCCCAAGGCTCTTTTTGTTCGCGGCTTGTCGTCCTCGGAGCTTTGACTCCAGCCAGCTTCGTTTACTGCCTCACCGACATTCGCCTTCAGTGGTTATGCCTGCAGAGGGGGAACTTTGAATACTACATTAGCCCAGGAAAAGGCGAATTGGGGTCATCGTGCTGGCCGGTGTGAGCAAGGACAATGGTCCACATCCAACCAAGAAATGATACGAGCCGTCCTAAGGCCGGCGAACTGCGTTTTGGACCAATATGTATAGGAAGGCGCAACAACAGAGTCACGTCACTTGCGAGTCGGAAGGAACTGCTGGCATTGAGGGTGTAAATAGCAATTGCGCCTGGGCTCTTAGCCGATTTTCGCCTGTATTAGCTATGAGAATCGTCACTGGTGAGGATGAAGAGGAGACGTACCAGTTCCCACTAAATGTATGCTCCTGCTATACGATACTCTTCGGCGTACTTCGTCATCTTTTAGGCTCTCTTTCACCGTTCTCCACAGCTTATCACCCTCCAGCTTCGATACAGCCAGCTTAGTCCCCAGCGATTACACCATCGCGTCGTTCGGCCGCAGGGAGGACAAGGCATACAAAAAGGCGAAGCGGCGGTAGACTAGTCGCAACTCTGCTAGAACCGGCGAAATTGTTGCAAGCTCCTTGCATTTTAGTTTATGCTGCAGGCGAGGGTTGATATAACTGGTGAAGCGCATGTTGTCTGTCGTTTTCTCTGCGATTCGCTCATCTCCTCTGATTGGCAACACCGAGACAAGGAACGGCCACTGATGAGTGTGCATTTGGTACATCCTAGAAGTAAGTTCTGAATGAGATTCGCTGTCTGCGAGAAAAACACGATCGCGCACCCTTTCCCTATTTTTTCGGGCATCCAGGACCTGCGTGTATGCGCCATTACGAGACCGTCGGGCTACAGCTTCGAGCGAAGCCCCACCATGGCGAATCTCGATGAGTAGTATCGTCAATGAGGTTTTTTGCGTTGACTTTGGTAGTAACATAGTGTCTGCATTATTCATGAGATTCCGCACTCTCTGCAGAAGGATCCTAGGTAACGCACCTGGTTCACCACTAGTAGGTGGGTGAAGCTATAATTGCGAGCTTTAATTTTCTTCGGTAAAGATGGCTCGGTTTTCGAGCGCAAGGACACAGCAAATATCATGAGCAAACGCGAACACAATTGCCTCGAAGGTCAGTCGCAAGTTGAACTCAAATTCAAATTGGTGCATAAGGAATCAATATAGGGCCGAATCCCGACCTTCGGCCTGGAAACCGGCAGCTTCCGCTAAGGTAATAGATTATCCATGCGACGTAGCTGATTATGACGATGGGGTTGTGCCTCTTGCAGGACTGAGGAGTGGTGGGTGTACTGCAGTGCGTCGTCGTAGATACCAGGTCTGTCAAGGGAGATACTAATGTCCAACATTCGGTTCCGATAATAATCCACTTTGCCCAATTGTGCATAATTATGACGGACGAAGCCATATGACACATCTTGAGCATCAGCGAGTGGTAAAGCAGAACCGATGGCTAGCGATAGCCGTAAGATTGGGAAACAAAGGAAAAAGAAAGACGATATACGCACGCTTGTGCAAGTCCTCCCAGCTAACATCCTACCCCCCCTGCTTCCTTCTTCTGCTTGGAGGTCATCGACACCAGTTGTTTTCCAGAGACTCGATGTCACCTATGCCAGCGTCCATCTAGCCTGTTGGTTTTCTGCTTCGACGGGGTACCTCTGGTCTAGGTCGTGCATGGCATCATGCATCCTGCACTGTGTACAGCATTATGAACAAGTTTCTAACACGTACGAAAAGGACAATGCTTACCCGAACACAAGCTCTTCATCCTTTTATGAAGCTTTCTAGTTATGATCGCCGCTCGCGGCTCATGCATTCAAATCACCGTGTCGATTAAACATGATTCCCTCCCTACGACGAAATATACCTCGACAACGTTCTCTTTGATTCACCAAGCTGGGTTTAGGCTCGGGGACATTAATCGCAGAGCACGAATGTACCGTCTAACGCAAGTTTCTGTTACAGCGGTTCGAGCACCGGCAATTTCCAGAGCCATACTAAAGCAATTTTCCCAACTCGCAGAGTATACAGTACACCATTGAGAAACAGCTCTGAGAATTTCGTCGGCAGCTAGTCAGGAGGCGTCGGGAAAGCAGAGAAGTATACGCCTGTTTGGCTGAAGCTTTGGTTTGTGGCCGTTACCGCCTTTGGACCGCCTGTCTTTTACTTCGCGTATGCAACGGCACATTTCACTTTATCTGCTCTTTGTCCTTACGATGGTCTACACCGACATACGCCCAGCGTCTTCGTCAACGATACAGTCGTGACTCTACAACCTGCTCTATGCTGAACCCCATCTTCGTGGTCCCAGTTTGTTACGAGCACGATGCTGACGCATCACCTGCAGCTCGTCGACCTTGCCAGCATACTCCAAGATACAGAGCCTTGTAGCACGGTGGAACGTCGTATAAGGCGAGACCTCTCGCTTGCTCCGCTGGCTTTGAATCTAGGGGAGAAAAGGGCTACCATATGCACCACAGCAACAGCAACTCATGGGCAAATTGGCATATTTCCGGTGTGAGGCCGAGGAAAATGGTGGTACATAGGTTAGGGTGAAGACGCTGCAGAAATCCAGGCTGAAGAAAGTCAGGTTAATTCACAATCGTTGGTCGCTGTCGAAGGTACGCTCACTTCCCTTTATCTATGCACCTAAGCTTGATTCATCCACAGATCAGTCGACTTCGTGCTAAGATACTCATATACCATATACCCTTGAATCCTTCAAAAAACAGCACGGAGAATCGCCCTACTTTCCTGCTTTCGAATGCATTGTGGGGAATACGTGCCTGTTGAGAAGCAGATATCATCGTACTGGCCTGTAGAAAGTCTTGGCTGGACAGCGGATACCATGGTTGCGGTATGCAACTTTCTAATGATAAACATCATTAACGAGAAAGAAGTCACGAAGGCTTGCAAAGATGAACTTTTTTGCACCTGCGCCAAAAAAATGCGCCGGGTGACCGGCTAGGCCCGGTCTGAGCTGGGATTCCAATCTCACACCAAAACAACGCCGCGTCTTTTCTCCTTGTTGAGCATTTCGTCACTCCGCTGCACAACTGCATGGATTCGTCTTCTCGCCGTCGTTCTCGCCTGATTAATTATAACTGATATACCTTCCTCGCAAAGCTTCCCGGATCCCTGTCCATCCTTTGATTGGCTAGGCCTGTGCTTCGACTTTCGTTGTTCGTATTTCATACTGGTTTCCTCGTCATTCTTCGTCAGTCTATGGCTCCGTGATCCGACAGTCTATCGGCTCAGTGAGAAACCGTTTTTATATGAGGCTATGGGGGCTGCAGTCCAGAACTTCAAACTTCAAGTTCAGCTTCGATAGATTTACCAGGCTCGATGAGGGAGGATCGGTGATCCCTCAAAGTCGGAGGCTGGTATCGAACTTTGATTCGGAGATTGCGTGTCTGCGTAGTGTGCTCAAATTCCCAGGCTTTCTTATCACCGCGGACATTGAAATCTAGAAGAAGTGTTTACCTGGTCCTCAGGATCAGTATTCATCGGGTCATCCTTTTCTATGCGACCCTTCGCTCTGTGATACTTCGCCTTTTGTTTAGTGTTTTAATGCTCGTCCAGGAGTAAGCCGCGAGCCAGAAGCGAAAGTAATACTCAACGGGTGCCTGTTCTCGACAAAATCAAAGATCAACAGCTGTATTCGCCTGCGACACCAACCTGGCGATCTCTCGTAACTTACAAACCACCGGAACGAAGATTTCTTCCTTCTCTTCACGTACCTATCACAAAATGTTCCTATTCTCGGCGGGAACCGTCATTACGGTATCCCCCAATAGTATACGGGGCTCGAGCTGACGATTGCTATGAAGTCGAACCTGTTCCTGTGTTGCTGATGGGGATCACGCGTAGTGTTCCTTATTGTGACGGCACTTCCCTGGGACGGGCTATGCGAAAAGCACGAACAAAAAAGAATCAGCTATCCTGACGCTTGCACCCCAAAAGGGCCGGGGCTCCCTCGCAAGGCTGTTTGGTTACACTAGCTGATGTCCTTCTACGCTTTGCGCAATCCCCACCAGTATTTATATGTTTTTAAAACCTTGACTCTCGCACTTGCTCGATTCTGTTCTTCCCCAACCCGACAAAAATGGACCATCATCGGTCTTCGGCTGTCATTTCGACCAACCTTTGAGGCAAGGTTGGCGTTTGGGTCGTTTTCGACAGTTTGAGCGTCTTTATGAACTAGGTTTCTGCGAGCTTGACGCGGTTATATTTATGGCTCCGCCGGCTAACTTGGTGATCTCAGAACCTCTCTGCGCACCTTTGAAGGTCCCAATGCTCGGTAGATAACGAATTCCGATGTTTCATTTACCTGATACAGCAAAATTTCTTCATTACCAGGCCTACGGAAGCGGCTGTAAGCTTTCAGTCCGGTTTTCTGATTCCGTGACTGACCCCTACGCCCAGATGAGTCAAAGTGTGTAGGTTACTCCATCGAAAATCACGGCGATAAGTCATTTCTGACTTCATGACGACGTTCTAATTTTTGCTATCCTTGTTTGTCTAGTAGCAGCTAGTCTCGGAACCCACTTGTAATCCAACTAGCTACACTATGGCTTTCAGTCGTCTGGTGTCATTCATGACCCACCCACGGTGCAGTGAACTAGCCATACCCCGAACTGCGATACTGCGATAGGTCAATCGCTTTCTGGTATAATCTTCCTTCCGGTCGCAGGGTTTACAGACAAATCTAGCCTGTTCATATATGGAATCACTCGAAGAAAATCTCCGCTGCCGGTCTTGCCAGTTTATTAACAGGAAGGTCTTTTATGTTGTCCTTCATCCTCCTACTACCTGTCAACATCAGCTTGACATCCCTTCTTCACTTTCGTCACTTTTCCTACTCGTTCCACGATGTGCCGCCGTCGCCAGTAAGCTACACCTTACCGTTACATCCATTCACAATAACTTTTTCGCAGAGTCAGGAATGTCTACACCCGATGTGGACACGCTGTCAACCTGGTATGCTTTTCTACGTCTGACACATCCACCTCCACTGATCGTCATTACCTTAGCCCGAAGAAATTGTATAACGATTACTACGCGTGCAATATTGCGACATTCCTCTCATATTTACCACTGTTTTAGATTTCGTGCGAGGAGTCTACCTGCAAGTTTAGTCTTTTCCATCCTGCGAAATGCAAACCGCCAGCTTGTCGGCAGACCTGTTGGCAATAGTATGTCTTGACTGTTCCCATCTAGTGCGGTGCGACTAACTAATATATTTCAGCTGTCGTTATCCTGAGCAGTATTGTACGACGACAGTTTAAATATTTCTGTCCTTTCCCGCTAACATTCTTGATAACCCCCCACATTGGTTCATATTGCCCTGCTTGCAATACCAAGGCTGTTGAGCCGCAGGTGAAGCATCCCTTGTACCAGCTTGCCTCCAAATCGTAACGCTGATAGTTTCATTATGTGACTAGCATTATACCTAGACACTGGCATATCCTGCATAAAAACTCGTCTCTCCGTGTCTCATCTACATCAACTGAGCCGACCGGGTTTAGAAATTTAACAGCTGGCGGTATTCATATCCCACTACTTGCTTGATATCCGGAGTAAGGGAATAAGGGTGCTCACGCATCCGATGAATATAGGACTTGGATTAAGAATCGTAAGCTACGATAGTATGCTTTACTAGAGTTACAACCTCTCTGGTCCCACTGATCAGACTATCTCAGGTTTGTAAGTGTCGGTAATCAGCTTCAGCGTTAACGTCGTGGAGACTCAAGAGAATAAAATTTGAACATAGGAAATGGTACCGACCTAATCGCACAAAAAATTACTCTGTTCATATTTAAGTGAATCTCGTTTGTGTCCGGCCCCGGGTTCTTCAATGATAGCCGGTTGTTATGTGAAGTCCAACTCGGAACGTTACTCTGAACCCGAGGACTGTGCCTCGTCCATATCGCAACTTGGGACAGATATCAAATTATTGTGAGCTCGAACCATCAAATTTCAACAGAAAAGCATATTCACACGTTCAACATATGAAGAACATCAACTCGGAGCATCCACGGTCTGTACTGGACGAACCAGGGAAGCTGGAAGATCAACCTATTTCAATTTATCAGTCCCTTGAAAAGGAATCAATCAAATTCGCATCACAGATGCTTGCGAAGGAATGATGATAAACTTCCCCAGGAGCAGATGTGGGTCGACGATTTACTTAGGGTTATAATAACCGGACTGTACCTGATCAACGTCAGGTAAGCCACTGGTCAGTGCTTCATGAGAGAGCATCGAACTCGGTAAACATTCGAGTCCCGATCATACTTACTCTTGAAAGCCGTCTTTAAAAGGCCAGTCTGATATATTGGCGCTTCGTGATACACAGCATATATTCATATCTTTTCGCAAGCTAAGTTCTAACCGACATCGCCGCATCAATTTTTTTTCTCAGGCTGCCTTCTACGCTGTCGTCAGGTCAACTTCTCTCGTTAAATGCCGGCTTGAGCGCGCGCTGGTTTTAGATGGCGTTTCAAACCACGAGGTTCGATTATGAAGGACGCTTCCATTCAAGTTGACTTCAATGCTACAAGGGCTGGATCTCAGGGACAATAACAGGGCTCGCCAATTCCCAGCCATTGAAGGGTAGTGGGGAGAAAAAAAATTCATGATGCATCAAGTACTTTGAGGCTAAGTATATAAAGGTGGGAACGGATGGAACGGATACACATTCGGTATGTCTCCGTACAGCATATGCTGCTCAATGGCAAAAAGCAAGTTACATTCAGATCTGCGGATGGTTATATCTTTTCCGTTATTCATTTCGAAGACAGTGACATAAAGAATCAAGAGCAGCTGCGACTTCAAGTTGGCTGCAGCGGAAGTTGGTAAGTGTCGCTGTGTCACCGGAACCTCTTTTCACGGTTTGTAAGCATCAGCAGATGCCGCCTGTGTCGAACTTGACTTCCTCCTTGCATGCTCCGTTGAGTACACACTCTTCTGGGATTTCCTTATACGACCCTCTGGTAGTTTATACTTCCATTCCGTTGGCTTGATTTATGTTATAACAGTTTATTTCCTCTCACTTTTTGTGATTATCTTCAGATGATCTGCTTTTCTGATCTTTTCTGATCTGTGAGCATTGCCACTTGCCGCGAAAATTGGAAGGGGCTGTCGCCCTTCTTCTAGTCACACTTAGGGTGTTCTTGCTCGTTCTGTGACTTTTCTGGGGTGAGCGCATTTTTGATGTTAAACCGCAACACCAATAGTTTTTGGTTTCGCTGTATGTCCTTGCCAGGTCTTGTGGACGAAGCTTTCTAGTAGTTATCACCGTGGCGTCAAATCAAGGAGCCTTTGCTTCCAAAAACTACCCTCTAAGAAGCTCACCGCTTCAGGTCACTGACAAAGAATGTAGAAATTTGCCTGTTATATGCGCTATGTGAACTCTGGAGTTAAGCTTACATCCTTAAGGTTAGCCTTGATACATCTGGCTCGAGATGTATTTGATGTGGGTCGAACTTTTTCTAGGGGACTGACTTGCATTGAATCGGAGGTTGTCTGTCTGCGCAGGATGCTGAGCGGTGCTACTAAAATCTCGGTATTTCTCATTGCGGGCATCAAAATTCGAAGAAGAAGAAGAGATTTACCTGATCCTCAGGCCTAGACCCTCGTATTCGCTCTACAGCAGTTTCTGCGTCCTTTGTTCTGAGTTTAACACAGCTTCGTTGGGCGGATACCACGGTCCATCCATGACAACTGGACATACGATCCAATGATGGGAACTCACGAAGTTTAATCCTGACAGCTGAAGTTATAGTCAGCCCCCAAGATGCTGGGTCGGAAATTTCTTAGGCGTTTAATGTTCTTTTAACATCCCTACCATAGGCATGCAATTTTCAGCAGTACCGATGGTGAAAATAAACCTAGATCCTAAAAGATATCATCCCGGCATTCAAGTTGATACGTCGTGCTCTCGCTTCTTGCGTAACGCTACCGTCGTAAAGGGGAAGAACATATGCCGACCACTTGTTCTCCGACGTGTTCTCTCGCCAGGCTTCTCGGTAACTCGTTTCTCTCAACAATTATAGTAATTACACGTTCACAATATCCCCCGGAAAGTCCTAAGGTGGTTGTCTAATTTCGAAGGTGAGGGCGCTTGGCCAGGAAAAGAAGAACGCCTAAATCCGGCCTCCGGGATGAACTCTCTCCGACCTTATCATTAGTGGGGGTATATGGCTGCTATATTGGTGACCTTGGAAACGCTTCTCAGCTTTTCAAGTCCCAATGTTCAATTTGTAAGCAGGCCTCGATGCTTCCGTTCTCACATCGCAATAATGCTGAAGTAAAGTTTTGTAAGTTTGTTTCCATGTGCCTATGATTTCTTAACTCATGGTCGGTTACATTTACGATCAACAAGGCATACAGTTTTTTTTATTGATTGGATCTAGAATCACAGCGGTAAGTCATCTTTGCTACGCGCACAATGTTTGAATCTTGACTCTTTGCTATGTTTACCTGCCTCGGAAGCTGTCAACTGAAACTGAGCCACCTGTAGAACCGCGCCGACTTTGAGTTATTGGGCGCCATTCATAGCCAACTCGCGACATCGTGAGGTGAGTAACTAGCTCGAATTCTGACAGTATTACTCCGACAGGTCAAGCGCCTCCTGATGTGTTAGAACAGTAAAAAAAATTCAGTATGTTAGACGCTTTCTGGTTAAATCTATCTACCGGAAATACGTAATTCCTCCCTCTTTTCCAGAGTAAGTTACTCAACGGAAGTTGGTCATTCTGACTCTTACCAGTTTATAAACAGGGCGGTGGACTATAATGTCCTTCAATTTCCTATTTGCCATACAACATCGTATTTGCACCTTTGTATTCTCTTGCCACTGTTTTATGATGTGCCGCCGTCGCCAGTGAGCTACATCTAATCATTGCATTTACTCACTCACTCAATAACTCATTTCAGAGTCCGGAATGTCTACCTTCAATGTGGCCATGCCGTCAATCTTGTATGTCCTTTATTATAACATATACGCCGCCAGTGTTGATCTCTGCCACTTAGCCTGAAATATACGTGCGGCAATGTGCTACTAGGCACTTTGCATTCTTCTCATTTAGTGCCCTTTCTAGATTCGATGCGAGGAGTCCAACTGTAAGTTCAGTATTTTCCATCCCGCAAGCTGCAAAGCCCCTGCTTGCCTTCGTACCTGTTGGCAATAGTAAGTCCGAGCTGCTTGTCGCACTTTAACTTGATGATAACCGATCTACTTAGCCATCGCTATCCTGAACAGTACTGTACGACTTGAAATACTTCAAGTTTTCTCGTTCTTTCTCGCTAACTTACTCGATAGCTCCTCACATCGATTCATATTGCCCCTCCTGCAGTTCATATCAGCAATCTCGGGGCCACTAATGTCTGGCATGCATCCAGAGCTCTCAGCTGAAGGACTTCCAAAAATTACATCTTGGTCTATCTCAATGAAACATGTATTAGCATCACGTATTGGTGACATGTTTTCTAAAAGCGTACTGGTCGGGTGTGGCCATCTCAAGCTGAGCGTGGGGAACAACTTGGTCGGTCGACAATCGGTCGAAGAAGGAGACGCCGGGACGTACTGCCCATTGACTGCCCAACGTGCCTGATTGATATCGATCGAGCCGATCGGACATATATCCTCAGGGTTGCTTGACGCCAAACTAGTCGGGCTAAGAACTATTACGGTTCTGATCTACGGTAATCTAAGAGACAGAGTATGCTTCTTAAGACTCGATAGGTTGCAGAAGTACGCTTTAGTAAACATATATAAGTCCATTAGTACTTGGGTTCGTATTGTAACCCACTCAGGATAGATTGAATTTGAAGGTAAGTGCCAACAATCAACTTCATCGTTACATTCGGAGAGTCCGATAAACGTAGGAGCAACCGTGATCTTTGCAATGCTTATTTATGATAGCCGGTTGCCGTACATTCCAAGTACATTCTGGAAAGTTGTTCTGGGCAAGGTCTTGGCGGCACTGCACCACATGGCAGCTTGAGCTAGCGCTTGAGCATCAATTCTAGATAGAAGAACTCTTGTATATATAGCATAAAGAACTTTAATAGTTAAACAGCGACGCGAATTCGGAATACCTTCCTGATCGCAACGGGTCATCCCATGCAAGGATCTGATGTTTCAATCTGAACTTGGAGAAGTGGTTATTCTATAACAACAATACCAACCGTCGGTAACCTGATACCACCGAACAACGCAAGTCCGTTGAACTTGAAGCTTGAAGCTTGGCCTCATCTATTGAAACCTGGGTCAACCTACGGTATTGGCGCTTCATGCGACGCATCACGCCCAACTTTGTTGTTTTGAATTCTTCTGCCTCCATTATCGTCGGTTTGACTTCCCTCGTTAAATACCAGCGGGGACTAAGCGCTGGTTCCTGCAGGCAGTTTTATATCACAAGTTGAAGGTTATAGTTGCGAAGGCAGCTACCATTCGTACTTCTCTGCGTAGTGCCGAGATAAATAGGCCCGTAGCTAAGGGTTAACGTGGTTACCTCCCTACCTACCTGATGCTACTAATGCTAATCCGAAATTCTCGTGTCAATTTCCCGGAAGCGAGGAGTTTTAGTTGTCTGCAGACGAGACCAATCCAGGCTCAGAGCGTGCAAGTTATTACAAAGAGGATGGCTTTCACAATATCGCACCAGATCTGAACAGCAAAACCGTTTTGTCGGAGTTCGTCATGTTCTTGACTATGTTCGTTGAGAATATGACACACTAATATGAGCTTTCCTTGCCATGCATATCACCAGGGAAAGCGAGGTGCGCGACGGAAGTTTCGAGGTGCACCGGCCCTTCTAAGGGGGATGAAACTAGACCTGAGATTCGAAGGGCAACTGGCAACGACCCTCAGAGAGAAAATCACACCGTGGTAGTCGCTAGAAAGAATCTGCAAGTGCAGCTCATTGGTATTCGTTCGCGACGTCCTTGCCTACACAATCTTTTCGTACGGCCTGAAGTTCTCCAAGTGCTTTGCCCACCTTCCCTCATTCCAAGAAATAAAGGTTTCCCACTCCTCACTCTCCTCTCCAACCATCCTCCTCATGAACCACAAAAACCCGCAAAGCACCGTATCTGCAAAACACGGTTCACTCCCCATAACAAAGTCACCCTCACTCTCTTCGAAGCATTTGTTCATCTTTGCCAGCTTCTCTTTTGTAATCGCCCACAACCTCTTCCGCTCTTTGTCCTCCGGAGCCTCCAGACTAGAAACCGAGGAAAACTTTTCTCTCATATAAATTGCCGTCCGGGCGTTCGTCTTCACCACCAAGTCCGAATAGAAGAGAGGTAACCGGAGATGGTCAAAGGCGTCACTGACTGCATCGGCGAAAGTGAGCTGTAGGGTTATCGTCCCGGTAGGCAAGAGCATGGGTCCGGAGGAAGGTATGTCTTGTCAAGATAGGCCGCTATGGCGGTAGAGTCGGAGACGACAGCGCCCGTAGAATTATCTTGGATGATGGGTATGGTGTAGAAGGGAGAGACACCGTCGGATTTCGTGCTGGCGGGGGCGGTGCCGATCCTTTTAGCGAGGGCCTCGATATCAGGTAGCTCGACGTAGACAGTCTGGTAGGGCAGATTTTTGAGGTTTATGGCATACCTAACATTGAACCGTTAGTTTCAGAACACGCCTGCAGCGGGAAATATGCGTACCTAGCGCGCCAGGTCATCATAGTTCCCGGAGCATAGGCTGCTTTGGACGGAAGGTCGTAAAAATTGATCATGCTGGTACTGTGCGGGAAACATCATTTAGTTTAGATTTTATACATAAAAGTTCTGGTGAGGCTTACTAAGTGCTAGCATGAATAATCCACCAGCATGTACAGTCTTTGTCATTTACACGAAATGAATGCGGATACATGCATCACGGTCGTTCGTTCGATATCCACGCCCACGTTGCCCACGACTGCGGAAGAGAAAAACCGCGAGTTTTTGCTGCCTATAAGATATGCATTCATGTTGGTCGACTGCTCTACCGTTTCATGGGGTAAACTTTGAATAGGAACCATTCGGCTATTACCCAAGCAGAGTAGAGCCGACGTGAACCAACATTGCGTGTAAAGTATTGGTACTTGTTGAAACGGTTAAGCAAGGTGAAAACAAATCATTGTCGTGGCTGAGACTTCGGTGGTCACAACGATCTATCTTGTCATGAGATTCGCCGTCTGCAACGACAAAATGACGCATCACTTCACACCGAATGTCATGATGGATTCTTATTAACACCCTGACAGTGCCTATGTGCAACATTTTCGAGGCGAGAAGATTCGGTCGAATCGTGTATGATCCTTGGTGTCATGCCAACAATGTCGAACAGGGTTCCAACGTGGCATCGTGCGGCATGTTGATTAAATCCTTCGAGTTTCTGATGCGGGCGAATTGACTTGTCCATGCTGCGCCAATGTAGCCCTTGTATTATCTGTCGCATTCATCGTTCTCTGCAGAAGTGGAAGAAGCGCACCTAATTCACCCTGATCTTCTAAATACCCGACTTCATATAACAGTCTAGACCATCAGGCAATAGTCCAGAAAAGCGAGATCAGCTCCCGGCAATTCCAAATCTAAACCAAGTGCATCATTTTTTTGCTCGAGTCTGCAGCAAGTGAGAATTTGAGACCAGAATAAACGAGGTAGGCAATGCACAGCTTACTAGTTATGATCGCGGCTCGCGGCTCGTGCATTCAAATCATCGTGTCGGCCAAACGCGGTTCCCTCCCTACGACAAATTCTACCTCGGCAAAGTTCTCTGATTCACCAAGCTGGGTGGGCCCTCGAAATTACGTTGCCAGTGCGTCTTGCTATGCTCGTAGAGACGAACAGGTGCCAGCGGGAAAGGGTACAAGAAAAGAAATTGATTATTGCGCTCGATAGGCAAGTCGGAGAGCCACCGTCCCCATGGGTGTAAGTGCAGGCCCAAAAGAAGTACACTTTTGTCGATACGAGAAGAGGTCTTGGATGAACATCGCGCTTCACGATGGGGGTGGCGCCAATGTTTTTGGGGCAAGGCTCAGTCAAACGTGGGTATGGTAAGGTTTCGAAGTGCAGACACCGTAGTATCTGCAACAGCGTTTCATCAATTCGAGATAAGCCGGTGACAGAATGTGCACGTACCGCTGAGTAGAAGTACTGTCAGCGTGTAAATCACACAATGACATCTGTCGAGTAGGTTGCTTTAATGATGATACAGACATGGTACTTGGTGGCGACTGGTCGTCCATGTCGGATCACAGTGAGAACGGCATGGCGAAATGTATTCCAGGACTGTGAACCAAGTTTCGGCTCGTTAGGCGCATGATATGCTTCTAGAGACTGTTGCACCTCGTCTTATTGGATTGGCCATCTGCGAGAGAAAAATGATTACGTACCAATTCTTTTTCTTTCCTATATTGAAGCCCTGCATGTATGCGCCATTACGAGGTCACTGCACTACGCCTGAGGCATCGAGCGAAGCCAAAGTATGGAAAGGGTGTACCGTCGGGTCATCCTAAGTACAGCGCCTATATCTTCGGTGATATTCGTCCTGCAGAACAAAAGTAACGCACCGAACTTGCCCTACTTCTGAGTGCCCAACTTGGCACAGGAGCCTGCGACTGTCGACCAGGAAAGAGAAGACAAGACGATATCAATGTATGGAGATCCAAATCCTAGGCATCGAGCTCAAGTAAAATGAAGCAAACAGTGTACCCGAAGTAATGATGAAGAGTCGGTCCATCGGGGGATGCCGGCAAGGTAAACACACGTGGCAGGTTCGGATTCCGGAAGGTACGGAAGGAGTTGCCTTCACAAGGGTCCGCCGCGGCGCTGGCGACAGAGACCTTGCTGAAAGGAAGCTACCCATGTTAACCATACCTGTTTTCAATGCTTCAATCATTTTAGAATCCAGCTGGTTTCTTTGCTAGGATGATACCAAAGTGGACTGCATAAATGACTCGTGGTATTTGAATGGGGCGGATATAGTAAAATACAGTTTCACGGGACGTGCACCTCTAAGTCCGAGTTGAAATCCAACATGTAGGAGAGCGGAAGTTAGGAGAGTCGCAGCCACAACATTATGAAGGCCAGAGCAAGGGAGTCGGACGAGCACGATGACTTGAAGGAGCTGGTTCGACCTGTTTGATGCTTTTTGCCAATTGAGGACGTTGATGATCTCAACATTCAGCAGGATCTATGCCATCTACACTTGTTACATTCAGACGCTTCGATGGAGACACTGCTGCGTTCAACGTCGACCTTCATGTTGTCTTTGTCAGCGCATTGGATTCAGAAATGGATGGGAGGTATGCCATCATAAAACGCGCTGGTGACACTGAAGTCTCAGATCTCAGCGCTAGTAGCCATAAGGCTTAGTATCAAGGTTGAACTCCATCACCGCACACGGCCATGTCTATGACCTTTCCCCTCCGCATTTGCCAAAGACGTAATGCATTTTTGCCACTCACCTCGTTGGGGAATGGCTCGTAATTCTAACACCAACACAACATGAAAGAAATCTCGACGACCTGGCCACCGTTGAAAACCCCGTTGCCTTAGGGAGGCCGTTGAGGTCGCACCATTCTTGTTTTCTGCTTGCCGTTATCACTGTAAGCCCATTCGAAGGCCTTAGGGTCGCAAATTGCCCTAGCTCAGCCGAATTCACCCGCGTTTGCCTGCACGAAGGCCGAAGGGTGAGCACTGTGCCGTTAGACGGTGGAGTTGGACTGGTGAGATGTCGTCGAAAAGCTGATGGTTACCGTCTCAGGAGCGGTGAAACCAGGCCTTCAGGAGCCGCAGGATTGTGTCGGAACCGTGGAGATTGCTGGGAAGGTTTTTACTGTAGGACTGTCGGGAGTCAGATGGGATCGTCGTTTGAGAGGGTGCAACATCTTTATCGTAGGTCTCATCGTCTCGATGTTTAAAGCTAGGCCAGATCCAGAAGCTCGCGGCTTGTTGGAACTCTGACTGGCAGGAAAGAGGAATTTCATATTGGCAAGTTTCGTGTACCGAGAGGGAGGTTGGCAAGATGAAGGGGTGAGCAAACAGAGACAAATGTCTATTTGCAATTGGCAGATTTTGAGAGGGAAGTTTCAGGTCAGGTAGATATGGAATACAAGACTGGTACGCTCATTTCAAATGAGATTGTGCCTGAGCACCCCCGGCACCTTGCCATTGCTGTATATGGATAAGGTCTTGTGATTTTTATTAATCAGACTTGTTATTTGCCATAAGCAGCTATAGACTCAAAATAAATCAATATATATAAATACTTAAATAATTTATTAAAATTCTAATCTGGGTTCACGAATAGCTGAAGTCAAGGGAGTAAATGAGATCCTATCTCAATCCTATCTTGGTCCATCATCTGGCTCCTCACTCATCAATTTAGGTATGATGCTTCTCTGACCTTAGAGCTTGAGGATGCAGTTAATGTCATATTTGCACTGAAAAGTCTATTAATTGGGAGATATCGCGATGGGACGATCACTGAAGCAGTTTGCTGACCGATATTGGTGCGAACCTGAAAAGGCCTGTATCGATGAAATCAGCACCACAGAAGACCAATTTGGCGCAATTCTTGACACCATTATCCTTGCAAAGGTGATGGACATGGCCTGCATCTTTTCGTGTATCCCGACTCATTCATACTATCCCAGCTTTCGTGAGTTAGTCATTTCTTGAATGTGAGAGCCTTCCTAATCCTGTCTGGTAGATTCGGGAGCCGCTGGAGCAATGGACTGTGAAGTTGAATGAACTTTACACATCGCTTGGTGCATATAGGAACAGATCAATGCCAAGTCCATGGGCAACTAACCAACAAGAGAATGTCTATCGCGATATTTGCCTCCTGGTGAACA